TCCCTCCTCCTTCCCTTTCTGCATTTCCCCCTCCCCGCTTTTCAAAAGTAGAACAGGTTTTACTTGCAATTTTTGAGGAAGGGGAAAGGGAGAGACAGAAAGTCAGAGAGAGAGACAGAGACAGAGAGACAGAGACAGTGACAGAGACTTTTGTCTCTGAAATGTGAGCTTTTCCAAAAGGGAGCTTCAGTACCTTTTTTGCATTTTCTTGCCATAAAAATTGTTATGGGGCTAGAGCTGAGTATCTCAAAATGTACTTCCAGGGGCTGGAGCAATAGCACAGAGGGTAGGGCATTTGCCTTGCATGCGGCCAACCCGGGTTCGATTCCCAGCATCCCATATGGTTCCCTAGGGCACCACCAGGGGTAATTCCTGAGTGCATGAGCCAGGAGTAACCCCTGTGCAATGCCAGGTGTGACCCAAAAGCAAAAAAAAAAAATAAATGTACTTCCAGATCACCGAGGGACTTGTATAGATTTAAAATTATTGGACCCCATCCGAGATTCTGTGAGTCAGAAATTTTGAGAATAGGGGCACTGCAATCTATAATTCAATAAACTCTTTAGGTGATTCTCCTGCATGTTAAAGTTTTCGAGTCAGTAAGCTAGAGTAGAGATCCTTGAACATTTTCCACCTGTGATTCCTTTTTCACTTAAGAAATGTAGTTACATTTCTTAACTGCTTCCCCAAACACCTCAGATTCATTAAGAGCTGATTTTGAATTAGTTGTCATTGTGCATTCTGAAACCTTTTACTGTTTCATAATCCCCCACATTCAGTTGTGACCCCGTAAGTTTAAGAAGTTAGGAGTTACACAGAAAACTGCTTGGAGATGGGTGAGAAAAAAATGAAGACCTAAAACTCCACAGATTTCAATACTGAACCAGATTTACAAATAAAAACTATATTTTTTTTGCTCGAGCGGGCCCAGTAACGTCTCCATTGGAGACTTTGTTGTTACTGTGTTTGGCATGTCGAATATGTCACGGGGACTATATTTATTGTGTCAAATTTTATTCCTTTATTATTTAAGTTTAGGTCACCTGCTTACAATTGTGTAATATTTATGGTTACGATGTACACCACTTTCTTATCTCTCACCACCAGAGTGTCCCCACCAGTTTCTCAGTTTCTTTGTTTCCCTATTCCCACATCTCCCTCACTTCTATAATCCAGGCCCAAGGACTTGTTATCATTTGACACAGTCTATCCCCTTGTGTTTTTCTTTTATCTTTCGCATATGTGTGATATAACCTGGTATCTGTCCTCCTACGTCACATGGTATCCTACAGTTTCACCAAGTTGCAGCAATCGGTATAATTTCATTTTATTTATTTATTTAATTTTTATTAGTGAAACACCATGAGGTACAATTGTAGACTTACAAATTTTTGTGCTTGGATTTCAATTATACGACCAAATACCCATCCCTCCACAAGTGCTCATTTTCCACCACCTCTGATCCCAGTATCCCTCCCACCCTCCCATCCCCCCCATCCCACCCCACCTCTGTGGCAGGGCATTTCCTTTTGTTTTCTCTCTCCTCTTGGGTGTTGTGGTTTGCAAAAGAAGCATTGAGTGGCAAGGTATGATTTCATTTTATCTTAGAGTTGTGTGGTATGCAATTGAGAATATAGACAACCTCCTTATCCCTATTTTTCCTAAACAACTGTAGTTAGGTTTGTTTTATTCGATTGAATTCATCTAATCAATAATCCATCTTTTAAATTTTAGCTCAGGTCTTTTCTTTTCCCATATCCAGCAATGTTCAGTGGGTACTACTGGCTCTGTGCTTAGGGAATCACTCCTGGTAGGCTCAGGGGACCATAAAGGGTGACTGGGAACAAACCTGGGTTAGCTACTTGCAAGAAAAGTACCCTTCCTGCTCCACTATCCCTCCAGCCCCCTCAGCTTAAGTATTTGTTCAGAGAAGTCTTCGATCATTCTACTTCTCCCCTTATACCAAGACCTTTACCATCCAGTTTGCTTCCTTTACAGCACTCAACACACCCTAGGTGTGTTTTGTTTTTTGTTTTGTTTTGTTTTGGGGGCACACCCGGTGGTGCTCAGGGCTTGGTCCCAGTTCTGCACTCAGGAATCACTCCTGGCAGTGCTCAGGAGATCATTTAAAATGCTGGGAATTGAACCTGGGTCAGCCATGTCCAAGACAAGAGCCTGTTGCACTATCTATTGCTCCTGCCCTGATCACACTCTGAAAACATCTCACTCACTCGGCAATCTGCTTCCCCTGTAGGGCTGTAAGTTTCACAGATGTAAGATCTTTTTCTTTTCACTGCTCTGACAAGCACACTTCAGACACACCCACTTAAGTGTCTTGTACACAGTGGTTGCTCCAGAGTTATTCGTGGAATGCTTTAAAGAACTTTACAAGTACATGGTATACTGGAGAACAAGTATCTCCGAAACAGTGACATGAAAAGAAATGGTTATTTGGCTGAAAAATGTTTAGGTAAAAATTTTAGTTCAGGAATATACACATTCGTGTAAATGCATGTAACAAAGGTCTCTCTCGTTGCCTCTGAACAGTTCTACCTTCCTCTTCAGCAACCTATTGATTCTAAAATTATAAACAGCCATATATGAACAAAATATCTCGGCCATGAACTGCACAAATTTGGCATGTCTTTGACAACCTATGTTATCCTACACTCATCTTATTTTTTTTGTTTTTCTAACCAATGTGGAAGACCGGTTAATAATAAATCTTCATCACTCGAGCAGGCGCCAGCAACGTCTCTATTCCTCCCAGCCCCGAGATTTTAGCAGCCTCTTCTTATTCGTCTTTTCCCAATGATTGGAGGGTCTTTCAGGGTCATGGGAATGAGACCTGTTGTCATTACTGGTTTTGGCATATCAAATAGACTATGGGGAGCTTGCCAGGCTCTGCCCATGTGGGCAGGGTACTCTTGGTAGCTTGCTGGCTCTCCGAGAGGTATATATTTATATTATATATTTCTCTCTATGATTTGTTGCCTACTATCTGAACCTCATCAAATATGGTGTGGTAATCATGGAAAATGGGTAGGAAGTGTCCCATAATGTGTCGAAAAGCAGCCTGGAGCATGGCAGCAGTTGGGTAGTGGAGGTCAGCTGCCAGGGCTGGGTCCCCTGGTGTGGGGGGGCTCTCACTCGCCCCACTCTGGGGTGCCCTGAGTGAAAACAGCCTGGTGCGGAGTTTTCGTACAGAATTTAAACATATTAATATAAAAAAATTCAAATCCATTTTCTAATACATGCCAGAAGACACAGATTTTTTCTTTGGAGAGGAAAAGCACCTCATTATTTTATCCACATCCCTTTGGATTTGCTTATTACCTTCTAGTAATATTGTTTGGTTTGAGATTTATAAAACTATAAATAAGTGAGGTCTTCTCTGGTACTAGCCTATGCAAGCATATTGGAAGAAAAGATATATATTGGGAGATACGTGGGTATAAATCTGGGAGGTCATTAAACTCTACTTTGTAGGAGTGACCCAAGAAGTCCTGTAACTTTTTTGTTTTGTGATTTTAGGTCACGCCTAGTTGTGCTCAGGATTTATTCCTGGTTCTGCAGTCAAGGGTCTCTCCCTAGGGGGCTTGGGGTGCTGGGAATTGAACCCAGGTTTGCTGTATGCAAGGCAAGCACCCTACCCACTTATCTCCCAGACTCGAGTCCTATAATACTTGTAGTCAAATGTGTGATTTTTTCATTGTTAATTATTCCTTTTATCCTCATAGTTGGATTTTGTCAACCTTTGGCGATCTGGTGGGTTTTAGTGTTTTACTAAGTAATATGATGTGGGTGAGCACCTATCTGCTTTGTGTATGTGAGGCTAAGAGTTTTAACTCCCAGCACTGCCCCATATTCCTGAGTGCAACCCCCAGAAGTTTTAGGGTCAGTCTCTGGTGCCACAAGCGCCTTGGCTGGCAAACTACAACAAAGTGTGTAACCCCAGCACTCTATTACAAATGTATGATGTCCAGAATGGTAACAAGTGTGAAGAAAACAATGGTGACAACAGAAGGGAAGAATAATAATTTTTTTGGCAACTTTTAGGGAAACAATATGCTTTTTCTTAGTGAAGCACAGGGAAAATAAAGCTCCAGTACATACAAGCTTACAGCTTAGATCTCTATTTATTTATTTGCAGGATCTGGATTGTCCTCCATGGGGTCAGTACTGAGAAAGAAAAGATGCAGAAAGGTGCAAGACGCAGAGTTGAAGAGGTTCTCACAAGAGATAAAGAAATCCCTGAGATTTGATAAACCTCTTTAATCCCTTTCTTACAAAATCAGGAGAGCATATTAGAGTTTTGGGAGTCCCTTACAAAGACTTAAACTTTAGGTCAGCAATATCTCAAGTAAAAACTGCTGAGAAGCCTCAAAAAGCTGATCACAGCCCTCAACCCAATGGAAGATTCTTTTATTTTTAGTCAGTGAAACAATCTATTTTCTTATAAGAGTCAATGACATTAGATTTCTATTTGAACAGCTTCTATCTGCAATTGAAAAAGAACCAGCATCAAATATACGACCTTATTATATGTAATTACTTATGTAAGAACAACATTCTGTAATGCAGAGTTCTTACTCATAACTGGTCATCAGAATTACCTGGGGGTTTGTTTAAAATAGTATAGGTTCTGTTGCTCCATTCTCAGAGGTGTTGTAGGTACTGGGAATCTCCATTTTCAACAAGACCAGAGGTGAGTTTGTTGGTGGTGGTATAAAGCCCACTCTCTAAATAACTCTGGCTTGAGCAGGAGAGGCTGGGATTGCTTCTTTGCCAAAATAAAAATGTACTGCTAAACTTGAAGAGGAAAAGGTTCATCTTTAAAGATTCAGACTCAGGCTCAGAAAGTGAGTGAGTCTCTATGGTGCATAATTCAAAAGGTGAATTAAAAATTAGGCTCATACTTGACTGGACTTGAGGATTATTATCAAATATCAAAGTACCAGACAAATTCTCTTGTTTCTTCTCTTTTTTCCATCTTCTTTTTACTGATAGCGGATTAAAGAAGCCAAATAGACCCACACAGATAATATGTTGCTTGGGTATGGGTGAACATATACTGCGAGAGCAAATTCCACCTGGGGAAATTCAGAAGAGTGAATTCCTGTTTGATAAACAGCATCAACAACTGATTGGATATCAGTGTATGGCATCTGGATAGGAAATCCAGCAACCTGGATGAAAGAGTATCATGTAAAAACATTACAATTATGTAGGTAATTAGCAATTATTGCATGCAGAATATATTACAAAAGTTTCAAAACAATGACAGTTATCATAACTATTTCATGGGTACCTATTTTGTTCTTGGTATAGTACTAAATTATTTGCATACATATTTACTCCTTAAACAGCCTTGTGGTATAGATTCTATTATATTTTCCACTTTACAGAGAGTGACGGGTACAACAAGGTCTAAAGAAGAGCCTGCACATTCAACATTCCACATACTTTCACTTTTTAGAACACCAATAAAATCGTTTATTCTGCAAATAATGGATATATGTGTATATTATGTATATATATATATGAGCAGTCTGAAAGAAGTTAGAATTGATTTAAATTTCCATTCATTAAATGATAGCTATGTCATAGGAAGAAAGGCTTATGAAACATTATCCTGTATAAATGATCTATTTAGTAAGCCACGAATAACAATAATAAACTTATTTCAAGTTTTACATTCCTGATCCTTAAATCTGTTCATGAATTGGTCCCATATGTTGTATACTGTACTGTCCTTCTCTAGCTGACTTAGTACTTAGTACTTAGATGTAGTGCAATTATGTTTTCCTGTCTCTCTTTAACTAGTCAACAGTGTTTCTGAATCTACAAGATGGTACCCATCTTATTTACTGTTATCATTCTAGTGCTAATTTCAATGTTTATCTCAAAGAATACAAATAATAAACATTTATAAAATACTTATATGCTATAAATATTAGATCTCTCAATCTTGAGGATAAAAAAACCCAGTAACTTTTTTTTTTATCCTTGTTTATCTTACCAATGGAGTAGAGTGTGTAGAGAAGTTAGATCAAAGCTAGTAAGTCACGAATCGAATCCAAGCTGTAAGATTCAGCCCAGGAGTAATTTTCACATAGAAGATATTAAATCTTATTGGAGTTTTATTGCCCATAACAAAGAACAGGAACTCCATTCTATCACTACCATCTAGACTAGTCATTTTTTAGTTTCTTCACTGCATGTGACTTCTTTCTGGGATTATAACTCCAAAGTGAAATTTCTACATCTTTGCTTTCAAGAAAATGTCATGCAATATGGTCATGGTAATAATTGTTCACTTCATCTGAAATTTCTTATTCTATAAATAAATTTTAATGCCTTTGTAACTATCACCTAGGAGCAAGATAAAAGCATTTCAGGGATATTTAAGACTAATACAAGCTAGCAATTAACACATAGATAAAACAAATGTCATTAATGCATTAAATCAAAAACAAACCCAATAAAATGGTAGTAGCTTTTCCAATTCACTTTCTTCTTGAGATGAAGCCAAACTTCCAGTGTCATGTTCTAGTTTAGGAAGGATTTGTCGCAAAATAAAAGTACACTGTCTATTCCAACGTGTTGGCTGTTTAGATCGCCATTCCATCATTTTACACTTTAGGGTCCTTTCAATTCTACAGGAAGAATGCAACAATTATTTTATGGCAAAGTACAACCCACTTAATAAATACATAAATATGAGAATGATACTTTTGGATTTAGGAGAAATCCAAACCTCTGGCTAGAGATATTTGCTTTCTTTCATATTCATTAAGATAAACAGGTGATCTCTTGGTTTGTGAAAGCAGCAAACTTTTGTACGTACTAGAAAGAAAACTAGATAGAAAACGCACTAGATAGAAAACGCACATCTCCTTCAACTGTATGTAGGCAGATGCCCAACTACTGGGTGTGATTTGACAGAATCTACCATCTAATTACTGGGATGCTTTTCCTACTTTTCAAGACCCTTCTTTGACATAAGACATTGTATTTCCCAGAAAGTTCTTTTACAAAAACTAAGATCTCTGATCTGGGAATGGTAACACGGGTCAGTTAATTCAGCAACAAAGTGGAAAGGAAATTTAATGAGCAGTTCCCTGATTGGACCGTATATTCCATAAGAGCAGGGATATTTTTGCCTGTCTACCCAGTCCTTAGTAAATCGGTAAGTAACTCTTCTAGGAAAGGAAGTAGTGTGGACTGGTTGATAAAGTCTTCCTGTGAAGCCTCTCTTCTGGGGAGAAAAGATGTAAGTTACAGAAGCGGTTGATGGGATTCTCTTAGAAGAGCCCATCGTGTAAATAGTCCAAAGTTTGTGGGAGTAGTTCAGCATAAATAGTTCAATTTGTGGAACACGCTTAATAGCAATTGTGCAACAGAAACACCTGTTGGGTTGCATGTTTCACCTCCAATTCATTAGCCTGAGACCTGCAGCTGCACATTTAAATAATTATAGAAGTCATATGAACACCAAAAGATGGAAACCAATTACCCTACCACATTTATTCCCCCTTAAAAAAGACTTTTAATGGGGGCTGGAGCGATAGCACAGTGGTAGGGCGTTTGCCTTGCGCACAGCCAGTCTGGCTGAGCCTGGTTCAATCTTCAGCATGGCAAAGCCTACCCGTGACGTATTCAATATGCCAAACACAGTCAATATACTAAACACAGTAACAACAAGTCTCAAGACAATGGAGACGTTACTGGGCCAGCTCAAGCAAATTAATGAACCACGGGAGGACATTGTTTTTGTTTTAGAAAAGACTTAATAGTGAAGGTTGTATATTACTGATGTAACTGTGGTAGTAGTGATAATACACAAAGTGGCAAATGACTTCTGCTGTGCTGTACTGATCAGGATGGGTACTGGTGAATAAAAAGTAGTCTGCTGTAAGTGTGAGTCAGAGGCTGTCAGATGTAGATGCTTCTGGCACAGAGGATTGAGGACCTCGACAAAAGCTGTGTCACTGTGGGCTTAAATAAACAATTTCCTCGAATGTGCACATCTGTGTATTTTTGGGGAAAGATAGAGTGCTTCAGAAGGATACTCTGGATATTTCTATTATCTATGTCATATTTTTACCATACCCCAAGTTTTGGGGTCTTACCCTTCCTGTACCTTGAAGAAATATTAGATACTGAATTCTGATTACTATATGTCTGTATTGAGAACTTCCCAATAATAGCACAATATTTTTAGATTAATAAATCTTTAACTTAGACAGTTTTCAAAGAGCGTTTTTTAAGGCAAAGAGACAGCTTCTTTCTACATGTACCAAGAGACAGATGACTTAGTGGACGTATTTTATATTAGGAATTTGGTGATTCTATGCTCAGTATAAAGGGCATTTTGATACTGGGTTAGAAGACTGAAAGGCAGCTGAACATGAGATCAAGGAGAAAAAACTGTAATCATGATATATAAGATTGCACCTGTTCTTTAGATCTTCCACCATACTTTTATCAGTATCAAAATAAACGATTTCTTCAGGCTGAAAAACAGACAAATGAAAATTAGAAAAGCTAATTTATTGTTCTGTGATCTTTAACATCACAGTCCCCTTGCATTTTTATAATCAGGGGAATTCAAACCAGTTTCATGTGGCAAGAAAGAGGCAGAGGCACAGAGGTGAAATATAGATCGGAGTGTTTCTTTTGATTTTAAAACTACTTCCCTGAGTGTGGGAATGATAATGGATTCATGAGTTATCTTTCCTGGGTAAGAAAGATATGACTGCCCCTATTCACTTACTCAAATAAGAATTTCACCTATTTTGGGATTCTACAGATGATCGTTCGCAGCTGTGGTGGTCTCTTCCACTTATAATACGTGAATCTGGTGAAGTGACTTAATTTCTGTAATCTTAGTTACCATATTTTTTAAGAGCGATAAAGACAAAGTACCTTTATTTCTGGGATCTAGTGAAGATTTTAATAACACTTGTAAAGCTTAACATGTATCACTTCAAAAAGATTAGCTTTCATTACTCTTTAACAAGGTTTATTGCCGCTTTTCTTTTCTTTTTTTTGAGTATTTTCTTCCAGCTGATGGAAGCCAGGTCTTTTTGTCTGCTTGTGTGTGAGTGTGTCTATTTCCATTTCCTTTCCTCAGCCTTTGCTCCAGGCATCCATTCAGATGCAAACCCTCCCTCCTCTCCAACAGCAGAGAGTAATGCTCTGTCATTTCTCTCCCCAAGGTCTTTGCTAAGAAGGATTTCCTGGGAGGAGGGGAGGTCTAACGCCTTAGCCTTCCTCTCTATGCAGGGTTCAACAAAGCAAAAGAAAGGGGCTAATGGTCACCCTTCATAACTGGGCTGAGGGTTGTGCCACAGGTGAACACCACTTGTCAGGCCTCCAGTCCTAAAGGTATTTAGTGTATCTAGCTGTTGGTGACGAACTAAGCCAGTGGTTCCAGATCTGAAAACAGAGACACAAATTCTTGGACCCCCAACCTCAGTCTCAATGAATTATAAACCCTGGAGTAAGGTCCAGTGATCTGTGTGATGTAGCAATCCTGCCAGGTGGTGGTTCTGATGTCTGGCATAAGTAGGCAACCAGTGATCTCAGACACTGGGAGATTCCCTACAAACATGACAGAAAATGGGAGATACTGGAGAAAGGGAAGAGTGAACAGAAGCAGCATTTTTCAGGGGCTGCCAGCTATCCCAGACAGTACAGCTATAACTAATTCTTTGCTGTCACTATCTTCCCCCCTCCCAACCTTCTTGGCCCCTTCTTCCCAGGCCCCACCCCCATCCCAGCTATGCTCTTGGATTAGGCCACCCTCAGGTCTGAGAAAGGCTCCTGCGTTATGTTAAATCTGTATGTTTATGGGATGTTAGTCCACCCCCTTCATTTATTTAAGCAAAAGCCCATTTATTTTAAGGAATTCATACCCTTCAAGAGAATTTTCCTGTTTTATTCTATATCTAAACATCTGCCACATTCTTACCATACACACTAATAGTTATGTTCCCAATTGTAATGACAAAGTGTTCCCTTCAAAGAGATGTCCATTTAATGCAGAACCCAGCAGCTTGGAGCAGAAAAGTGAACGGACTATGCATTGATCCAGGCCATCAAGTCTGCCGGAGGGGAAAGGGTGTTGCCCCATTCGCCCTCTCCTCTCTGGAAAGAAAGATGGCGGCCACATGGGAGCCTTGTGGACAGCAGGTATGAGCCGGGAGTGTGGGGGCGACTAAAACCTCATGGGAAGGGGGGCGTTTCGCTCCGCCCTTCACGCCCTACCGAGGCCACCGGTTGCCCCCCGTGAGCAGCTCTCCAGCACGGCCAGGACTCCAGAACACAGAAACCAATTTCTTAACTATCTGACTTTCAGTAGAAATACTTCCAGGGTCAATAGGTAAAAGAGCAGAAATCCAAAACCAACATTTAATTCTTGAACCCAGCCGTAGAAAGCAAATCACTTCACAGTGCTTTTTCAGCATGTCTGATTTGGGGGGGGGGGGGTAAACTCTAAATAATAGTGGTGAATCTTTTATTGAAACAATGAATCTAATCAAAGCAGATAGAGTGTTAACTAGAATTCATCTGCCTCACAGGGACGGGGAGGGGTGGGGGGTGGGGTTTTATTGGGGTTCTTCATGGTAAAAAATAAGTATTGGTAAAGGGAAATGTGTTTGATATTTGCATGACTGAGACATAAACCTGAAAGCTTTGTAACCTTTCCCACAGTGATTCAATAAATAAAAAAAAAAAAATTAAAAAAAAAAAGAATGGCAAACAGACTCGAAGAAAAGAGTTGCACACTGCTGTTTACAACAACCTTGGAAAGGAAGGTATGCCCCCAAAACATATTGGCTTTCTCCATTGGCCACATCTTTTCGGGCTACACCTTTCCAGACCCCGCTTCCAGACAGCTCTAGTGAAGAATCTTATCCCAGTTCAATCATCTGTCAGCTATGATCCTCAAGATTTATTGTAACTCGGTGCCATCCAGATTTAGCCTTCCACTTTATCCCTTTCACTCCCATTGATATACCTAAGTATTCTCAACTTCAACACTATTCAGGTTCTGTGGGGCACTAGGATAACCTCTTTTACAGTGACAGCCTTCAACACTACCTTTACATTTGCCCATCTCATTCCTAAGTCATATCCATTTGTCCTGTAATTCATCACTTGCACAAAAGCACAGGCACATTCAGATCTAAATCTTACCTTCTCTCTCCAGCTACTTCCTCTCTATTTTAGCCTCTGTTATTTCTCTTGTTTCCTGTCAGCAGATGCTGTAGAGAATTTGCATACACATCACCAATTGACAGGAAGAAGTCCTAGATCACCAGGAGTAGTTAACTCCTTCAGTTTGAACCAATAAAAATTGGAAATAGGAGAAAATGATCTAATAAGTGTCCATATCACTGAAATAGATGCTTTCAAGATAAAATGATCCATATACCCTCTCTGGAGACATTCTACATGACCCAACAAGTAAATCTGTTTCTTTTGTTACAGTTCTACAATGTACCACATTGAATTTATTTCTCTTTTCCTTCTCTGTCTCCCTTGAACTTTTCATTCTGATTTCACTGATGTTAAATCCAACTAATAAACCATAAGCATCATCTTTTGTTTCTTATATTAAAAATTATGTGAACCAAGTGTAAAATAAACAATTTGCCTTGGTCAATTTTTTAATTATCTTGACAATTTTTTCCTATTTAATGTCTCTGTTCTAACCACTAAAAAAATTAAAGGGCAATTTTATATTTTTATATAAGGTTTGCTTTATTTTTATGTCTCTTGAAGATTAAGATATCCACATTGTATTTATTCAATGTAGTGTACGCTTTTAATAATAATTATTTTTCCAAGTTCCATGAATATCTTTGAATCTGATTAAAAGAGTAAGTTGATAATAGGATCTAAAGGAGATTCATTTGAAAAAATGAAAACAAATCAAGATTGAATTTGCAGGGCTGATGTCACTTCATACTCTTAGATTTATGTGCATGAGGATTGAACTGGACATTTTTCCTTTTTTATGGTGTATTGAGTTGTTCTTTAAATTACAGAATTAAATGCTCAAAGATGAAAAAAAAAAACAAACAAAAAAAAAACAAAGAGATGTCCATTCTGGTATGTGTGAAGCAAGATGGATAATAAAGGGCCTTTAAGATGGTACTGGAGATACATGTCAAATGAAATTCTTGATTTTTTTGGGGTACAGATTCAACATGGGAAAAAGTTTAGTTTTTACCCCTAGATGAATAGATTTTTAAAACACAATTTTCATCATAGCAATCCCAGTCTTATGTTGGGCTTTGAGTTTTCCAAATATAAAGGCCCAAATTCAGAGCTCGGCTTCCCCTTCTTCTCATTTCTGGTTTATTTTTAGCAAGAGCCAAGCTGAGTTTTAGTTTTTTTATTTGTGTTTGGGTCATACCAAGAAGTGCTCAGGACTTACTCCTGGCATCTGTGCTCAGGGATCAGTACTGGTGGGGCTCAGAGACCAATTTGAAGTGCTGGTGATCATCCTAGGTTGGCTTTGTACAAGGCAAACCCCCTACCCTCTCCCTGCCCCTTGAGCCCAAGCTGGGTTCAGATACATGGCATACATCTCTTATTATTCCAAATCTTCATGTCGTTCCTCCTGCCATATACAGGGCTTATTTTCTGGGCCAATTTTCATCTAGGACAGTTCCTGCTTACACTTCTTCACTCTGTTGACACCATTTTTTCCCTTGGGGAATCAGGTGCTTTCCAGAGCACATGTCATTTCTTCTACATAACAGAACAGACTACATATATAAAATCAGTCTGTACTACAATTGTTTCCTTTTCTAGTACATAAATTTCATGAAGACTGAGACACAACTTTTTCTTTTTTTTTTTTTTGAGGGGGGGCACACTTGATAATGTTCAGGGCTTACTCCTGGCTCTGTACTCAGGAATCACTTCTGGTAGTGCTCAGAGGACCATATGGAATCTGGGTATTGAACCCTAGTGAGCTTGTGTAAAGCAGTTGCCATACCTGCTGTACTGTCACTCCAGCTTCTGAGACTCATTTTTCCTTAGAGTACCCATCCTTACAATAGCACTGGTTCATAGCAGGCATTCAATAAATATTACCTGAATGAGTACTAAAATATCTATGGTAAACAAAATTTAAAAACCCTCATCTCTTAATGAGGGCTGGAGCGATAGCACAGCGGGTAGGGCGTTTGCCTTGCACGCAGCCGACATGGCCAACCCGAGTTCGATTCCTCCGCCCCTCTCGGAGAGCCCGGCAAGCTACTGAGAGTATCTCCCCAGCACGGCAGAGCCTGGCAAGCTCCCCGTGACGTATTCGATATGCCAGACACAGTAACAACAAAGTCTCCAATGGAGACGTTACTGGGCCCACTCGAGCAAATCGATGAACGGGAGGGCCTTTACCTTTACCATCTCTAAACAGATCTTGCTGACCCTAAGAAACAGCAATGTTTAATTCTTAACTTTGCGATAGTACAATAAGGAATGGCTTGTGGGTGCTGTAAGTGTGGTTTGTTCAAGAGAGATAAGCACATTTCCCCTTCTTTAAAATGACTTTACAGGAAATACAGGAAATTTATCTATATGTGTTGTATGCATGTCTGCATTTTTAAGGAGAATTTTTAGAAGGATGCACAATAAACTACTGCCAGTGAGTATATCTTAATGATAAAAGTAAGTTGAAAGGGGATGGAGTGATAGCACAGCAGGTAGAGCGTTTGCCTTGCACACGGCCATCCCAGGTTCGATTCCCAGCATCCCATATGGTCCCCTGAGCATGGCCAGGAGTAATTCCTGAGTGCAGAGCCAGGAGTAACCCCTGTGCAGTGCCGGGTGTGATCCCCCAAAAAAATAAGTTGGAGAGAAATTCATCACTTGATATACTTTGATATAACTTCACTTTCACTCCCCACGCCTTCATGTATTCTTTTTAATACTGTAAACTGTCGCAAGTATGAAGCCAAGGATTGAGACTAATGCAATGAGTATAGTATCTACCTATCCCTTAGCTATATTTAACATTTGCTTTCTTCCATATTTGTTTTAATTTTTAAAAAATGTAAACCACCATAGAAAAACTTGAAATACTCTATATACTGTTCTCTGATTTCATTAATTTAAAAAATAAAAAAATTTTAATTGAATCACTGTGAATTACACTGTGAGTTAAGAGATATTTATGATTGAATTGCAGGTGAATATTGTTTCAGCACCAATTCCTCCTCTACCAATGTCCCCAGTTTCCTTCCCACCCCCAAGCCTGCTTCTGTGTGATTTCATTCTTTTTGTTCTCTCCCCAAAGGCAATTTATGTCAGTATTTATCCTTCCTATGCATGCTTTTATACTATTGCTGCAAATCTATATGCACATAGTTTTCAAACTACACATAAATGGTTTTGCTTTGTATTCTTTAATATCTATTTTCTTGACGTTACATTTTTATTTTTTGTTCCCAATGATAAGCATGACTCTAGGTCAGTGTTTCTCAAATTTCACGGCACTTCATCTGAATTACGTAGGGGCTCTATGTAAAACTGGCATTGATTCTATCTTCAGATATTCTGATGTAATGGATGTACAGTTGAGAATTACTGTAAATTGGTTCACACACTCACATACTTTTTAAAACAGCTGTATATGAGAAATTTCATAATATAACTCTTTTATAACTCACAAGTCCATTTTCTGGTTGATAAGTTATTTGCAATTGTTTTTGTTACCAGTAATTATACACTGTACAGAGTTGTTATTTATCTCTGTGTATGTTTCTCTGGGGTATATACTTAGAAACTAAATTGGTGGATCAGAAGTATCTTCAGCTTACCAGATAATATCATATTGCTGTCATATTAATTTACACCCCTACCACTTCTCTGTCCCTTTGCCCAAACTTGGTATGATCATTCCTTTTTTCCCCTACCTATCCCATTATTTTGCATATGAAATACTATTTTATCCCTTTACATTGTATTTTCCTGATTATAAGTGAGGTTGAAATTTAAATTTGTTTCTATGAGCTATCTTACGTCTATTTTTCTACTCTTCCTCTTCTTTCTCTCACCCCTTCTCAATTGTACACACAGCCTCTAGAAGCAGCTGTTGAAATGGTACATAGGTGCTTTTGCAAATTATTTACAATTCTTATACTTTAACATTCCCATGATGTTATAAGGGCAAATTAAAAGAGCTTACTACAACACTTTGATGTATTTTATGATGAAAATGCTTTGACTATCTTAAAATATAAGTTCACATTTGAGATGATACATTTTATATTCTCTTTTCTGTAAGGAGAGATAAGGGTTCAGAGTAACCCAAACTTAGGCTGGATGGCAAGGAAACTGGATTTATTAACACCGCCATGAGAAAATGCTCTTCATCACTAATCATCAGGGAGCTGCAGATCAAAACAACAAGATATCATTTCACACCACAGAGATTGGCCCACATCCAAAAGAACAAAAGCAACTGGTGTTGGTGCTGATGTGGGGAGAAAGGGACTCTCCTTCACTGCTGGTGGGAATGCCGACTGGTTCATCTCTTTTGGAAAACAGTATGGACGATTCTCAAAAAATTAGAAATTGAGCTCCCATTTGACCCAGCAACACTGTGCCTGGGAATATATCCCGGAGAGGTAAAAAAGTATAGTTGAAATGACATCTGCACTTGTATGTTCATTGCTGCACTGTTAACAATAGCCAAAATCTGGAAAAAATCCGAGTGTCCAAGAACAGATGTCTGATTAAGGAAACTTTGGTACATCTACACAATCTATGCAGCTGTTAGAAAAGATGAAGTCATGAAATTTGCATACAAGTGGTTCTACATGGAAAGTATCATGCTAAGTGAAATGAGTCAGAAAGAGAGGGACAAACATAGAAAGACGGCATTCATTTGGGGAATGTAAAGTAACAGAATGGGAGATGAACACTCAAGAATAGCTGAGATAAGTACCAGGAGGTCTATTCCACGGCTTGGAAGCTGGCAATAGATGCTGGGGGAGAAGGCAGTTTAGATAGAGAAGGGAATACCAAGTAAAGGGTGTTTGGAGGATTTGCTTGGGATGCGAGATGTGTGCTGAAAGTAGAATATAGACCGAATATGGTGGCCACTCAATACCTCTATTGCAAACCACAACACCCTAAAGAAAAGAGAGAGCAAAAGGGAATGCCCTGCCACAGAGGAGGGGCGGGGTGGGAGGGGATGGGATGGGAGGGTGGGAGGACTACTGGGTTCATTGATGGTGAGGAATGGGCACTGGTGGAGGGATGGGTACTTGATCATTATATAACTGAAACCCAAGCATGAAAGTTTGTAAGTCTACAACAGTACTTCATGGTGTTTCACTAATTAAAAACAAACAAACAAACAAAAACCCCCAAACAAACTACTGAGATAAATATACATTTTAAATTATTTCTGTAAAATAAATTTGTGAAAGCAGAATTGAAGGATTAAAGACTGTAAGCCTATACATATTTTTAGGGTATTTGACAATGAGCCAAATCCAATGTAGTTTTCTAATCTGCATTTCTTGTCTAACATTTTCTTTAATTCATATTTTTTAGTACCAGCAGATTATATTTATAGAGAAGAATTTTAATAACGTCATTTCTTCTCCCTCCAAACACCAAATGGTGTTGCACTAATAAAAAAAAAGTGTAATGCACAAAAAAGAAAAAAAAAACATTGCCAAGCAGTTCAATAAGTAATCTGTTACAAAAATAAAAAGAGTTGTCTCAACCCATAAAGATTAGAATTAATGGTAATTCCTATACAGTTGTAGCTGGAAAAATAGGATTTACCTGTATACTTTGGGATTTTGTTCCTTGAAGATTTTTTGGAAACAACTGTTTCCAGAATCTTTCCTTTGAATAGTCAAAATGTACAGCCATTGGTGTGCTATTCTGTTGCACATTAAACCAGACCTATTAGAACATGAAGACAAAATCAATGTAGGCCTATACAGAGATCATAGCTGGTTAGGACGGAGCCAATTTTATAGTACTACTACCCAATTTAGAGGCCGAAGGTGAAAGACGTTCTAAGGTAAACATACTTAGTATGTCTAAGGTAAAAGAGATTCCAGAGGTAGTGAACATTAAATGACTCATTGGCTCAAAACCTTGGAGGCCCTGATTAATCACTGGGGAGAGCTGTAATAAAAGATTGCCCCCACCCCACCCCCATCCCAATTTGATCCCCATGGTAATGTACATTAGGGCAGAAGAACACTGGATTGACTTTTGAGGAAATAACTCAAAGTAAGATTTATCCCCATGTACTTACATTCCCACCATCGAACAAACAGTCCACACTTTGTAAAGGGCAAAATGGGTCACACTGCTTATGGCATTGCCCAGTTAAAGGATTCCAAAGCAAGAATTCATCTGTTTCTTGAGTTAATACATATGCCACATGTCCCTATATGAAAAAAAGAATTAGTTATTTTTTGATAGGAGGTTGACTGAAGTAGTTTTGGTGTGTAAAAACTATAAAGCAAGCATGTGATAGCTTTGGGTCTTAGGGTCTAACATTTATTTGGGCTTGCTTTTCAAAACCATGTTCTCCCTTAAATATGTATTTCACTTATTAGTCTCTATGTTTATTTGTCTGGGGCTTTTTCCACTCTGAAGAAGTCTGTTCTTTCTTGAACATGAATTTCCTCTCTTTCTCTTCCCTCACATCTATCTATTGTTCAATAAAGACTATCTTGATTCACTAAAACTAGACAAAAATAAATAAAATTTGAAAATGAAAAATGTCAGTGCTTCAGAGACCCTCAGGCTCTGGCTAGTATATGGATTCACAAGAGAGAAACTTTGAGTCAGTTCTGCCGTACAGTCTTGTAGGGTGACCTAGTCTTTTGTCAAAATAATTATTTAATAAAGTCAGTGCATGAAAATATAGAACAATGTCCTGACAGCTAGTACTAAGTGTTTTGAGGTAGTTATTGTTTTGTCTAGTTCACACAGAAGTGCTTTATGGACAGCCCTAATTTTGAGCATAGTATACTTAAGAAACTGAGGATGAACATCAAATAATGTTAGGGAAGAGAAAACTATCCTGAAAAAAACCAAGAGGCGATATAAAGTCATCAAAATAATATTGAGAAAAATGTGGAATTAAGAGGCTAGAGGAAAAGTATAGAGGAAATTATCTGAATAATAATGCAATTTGTATATTTTACTCTGGATATGCCATTTTGAGATGTACAAAACTATTTTTAGCAAAGAATAAAAAATTCAGGCCATAATGATAATATGCTTAATATTTGTTGATATTTAGCTGTACCAGGTACTGTGCATTCACATTAATTTTCTAACTTTAATTCACTCCATATTGTGGGAGGTAGTGATAATTAAGTTTATCTTTGGGATGAATAATCAGAGGTTAAGGAACTTGTGTGGGATAATAATGACATCTGTTTTATGAGGAAAAAGCTGAAGTTCAGAGGAGCAAACTAGGCTGGCATCAAAAGCGCTAAATGGCATTGCAGTTTTAAATTTAATTTCCTCTCTGACTACCCCCTCCCCACCCACATTCTTTCTTTCTTTCTTTCTTTTTTGCCAATGGGCATCATTATTTTTAAGACACTTTGAAAACTTTATGATCCACATGAAAAGATATGGTGAAGAAAGGACACAGAGTCCTGAGTAAAAGTCAGAGCCAAGCTCTAGTTCAGCATTATTGAATGACTTTGTCTACGAAAAATGACGATGGTGTTGGTTGATCAATACAAAACTTTAGGGATTTTCTGTTTGCTTGATGGACAATGGGCTGATCTGGAAAATCCAAGGCAGCTTCACTCACGTTTCTGTCTAACCAGGTGAAAAGGATAAGTCTGAACTCAGCTGTGACCGTCAAGGTGGAATACCTACTCCAGTCCCTTCTAACCTGTCTGACTCAAGGCAGATCCTTACACAATGCTCTAGACTCTAAGAAGCATGTCCCAGTGAACAATGCAAAAACAGTGACCTTTTACAACACAGTCTTGGAAATCACACAGCTCTCTTTTCTGCCACACTCTAATAGTATAAACTGCCACAAGTGTAAATTTTCAAGGGAAAGTTCTGAGGTTTCAGGCCTCATACTCAAGGGTCAAAACAAAATATAAAAAACAAACAAATAAACACCCCCCCACCCCCAAAACCCAACAACCAGTTGACTCCTTCAAATTTAAGGAATAAAACAATGATCATTAAAAAATAAAACTCCTCTCATGGGTCAAAGCCAAATGTGCAAACAAATATAAAGTAATGCAAATCATGGCTACTTTTGCCTATAGATTCGCCGCTGCATCTCTATGGAGGACATTGGTGCTCATTTCCCTCATACCCAAGCTGGAAGTTGGCCCCACCAAGTGTAAGCTTGGAAGTTCTCTCAGTAGGAGATAGAGAGGACTGAGGTTCAGCTTTCTAGAGCCTTTCTAATTCCTATGGGCCACAGATTACACCCTACACTGAGTCAGAGATTCCTGGAAGTGGAGGTAGGGATGAGATAGTGGCCCCTACGGTTCTTAAAACAGTGTGCAGTATAACCTGCTCCAATTCCACTGTGCTCTTCTTTTAAGCAGAGGGAAGGGATTACCTCAATCACCTAACTCAAGTGCAAACAGCGGCTGGTGGCTTCCCTTGTGAATGTTTGCTGAAATATTGTTGAATTTTACTGCCCTCTAGTGGCAGTACAAAACTACAACAGAGGCTCATATGGGAGAAATTAACATTTTTAATCTAGTGACACAGAAACAATCTAACCTCTTTCTCTTCTTCCCTCCATTTCCTTCTCCCTTCTTCCCTTCTATTCCACCCCTCTCCAATCCTCCAATCTCTTTCCATTTTTCACCTCTCTCTCCCTCTCCGCCACACCCTTTCCCCAGCCCCTTGCTTTTGGGCCACACCCAGCAGTGCTTAAATGCTATTCTAGGCTCCATCTGGGGGTTTCTCCAGGCATTGCTCAGAGGGACCACATAGTGCAGGGCTCCGACACTGATTATGCTCAGCCCAGGCACTGAAAAAATTATCTGCAAGGATCTTTAAACATAATACGAGAAGCTTATAAAGATGATGTTGATCATGATTAACAGCCATCATCACTACTCATATAACTATTATGGCACCATCATCACTATTTTTTGAGCATTGGTATAAAGTACCTTGTGTGCATAGAATTTATTATTTCCAGTCACCCCAATGAAAGCAGCACTATTGTCAGCATTATTTTACAATGATAAGAACATAAATGTCTCTGTCTGAGCCACCACTATCCACTTTCTAGCAATTGTGTGCCCACAAAATTCTCAAACTTGTGAAAAGACGGAGACTTGAAGCATTTTAAAATTGCAGCTGAAAGCTAATTATTTTGCTTGCATAATTTAAACGTTAACTCCAGTACTTACTTCCAATACTGAAGTTCCCAGAAGAACCAAAGCTTTTTTCCCAAAATACAGAAAGAAATTACAGAGAAGGATGGCATGTTCTTCCTTATTTCCAACAGTCAAACTGATGCAGCGCTAGGGCAAGAACAACAACAACAAAGTGAGGGAAGAGAAAGTCAAGGAATGCAACTTTCCAAACACATTGAGAGTTCTACTCCTTCTAATTTCAAACACAGTTTCTCCCATATAGCTATGATTACAGCAACGCTGAACACTCTGCCTTCTTTGACTTGATAGATCAGTAGAGAGTTAACCTGGAAAGTAGGGATCATCTTCATTAGAGGACAATTAGTGTGGATAACTTAGTAAATAATTTTTCATCCAAAATGGGACATTTTGTTTAGGGGAAAATATTAAATTGCCCCAGGCAAATAGGGACACAGGGATTTGTAGTTCAAGAAAGAGTGTCTGCAGGCCCTTCTACCCCTTGCCCTGATGGGACTCAGAGATGACACCACATCTGGCCACTATCTACTTAAGCTCCCACACGGCCATGATCCAGGGACATACAAACAAATTTCAGACCCAACCAACTTGCTACAGCAATCTCTTCAGACCCTAATTATTAAAATTTTAGAATTCTAAGAGCGTGCACAACATTATATTTTATCCACAATAAGCAATACAAAACACATTGTTTAGCATTGCCTTTTCGGCAGGTATGAGTGGTGGTGGGACTGGTCTCAAAATATCGAAGGTAACTAGAGAAAGAGAATATTGTGCAAACTGTCTGCCACATAGGCAGGGGGAGGTGTGGAATGAGTGTGTGAGCAGATTTTAGTGATGGAATACGTGCACTGGTGAAGGGATTGGTGTTTGATGACTGTATGATCGAAGCTCAAACATGAAAGCTTTCCATTTTCCATTTGTTACCTCTTGGTGAATCAATAAAAAAATAAAAATTAAAAAAAAAAGAAAGAGTGCCTGCTAGGGAATTGTACAATGTTTTTGGTGCAAGAGATCCTTTGGATAGAACATATTATTATTATTATTATTATTATTATTATTATTATATATTGGGGATTTTTGTTTTAATTGTGTTTATTTTTATAATAATTGTTGATATATTATTTCCCTGTACTGTCTAGTGTTTTAAACACAAAAAAGAAAATCTGAGAATTCCTTTAAAAAGAGTGACTGAAACTTCAACAGAAACAACTGAACAGCTGAATGGATTACTACCAAATATAAACTATTTAATACAGCAAATGTAATAAAAAAAAGAAGCACAGCAGTGATTCAAGACTGATGATGTAAACCATGTTTCAGCCTGTTGGTATATTTTCTTGTTCCCCAGACTGTTTATTTTTTAAATTAGAAGATCTCATATAAAACTCTAGTTTTCTGGTGTCTCTTGGAAGTGGTGTGGGAACTAAAGGAACAACAAATGTCGAAGGCAACAATTTGTAGTTGTTGAGTAGCACCATTTGGATGGGACATGTGCTTTCCAATTCATTATGGTTGCAGAGAAAAAAGGGGTGATGGTCATGGAGATTGGGAAGCAGGGGGTTCAGGAATGCTTGGAAGTGACTATTTCCCAATCACTGTGGAAGCCTTTAAGCATTCAATAGCTGATATGTGCACCCTGGTGAACATGGAGAGAAATGGAGGTGAGGGAGAGGCTGGCACGGCGGCTCCTCTGAAAGAGAGAGCAGAAGAATTAAGGACAGAACGTCAGGGCAAAGGAGATCCCCTGGCAGGATTTCCTAAGAGGACGAGGGAACAGATGAGAACAAATAATATCCCACGTTCCAACATGCCTTGCCTATGTTATCTTTTCAAAATCTCTGCACGACATAGATGAGGAATTCAAGACCCAGAGAAGTGAAATAACTTATCTCAAGTCACACAATTAGCAAAGTGATTGAAGTAGGATTTGAAGCAAGATTTGATTCACTCCAAAGACTGTAGAGTAGGCAGAAGATAGAAACTCTTATCTTGGGAAAATACAATTAGTGATGCACTAATAAGATCAGAGAGCTCACGTTAATGGGAAGGCATTAGCAGAGAGAAATCATAATCCTGTTTTGGGCAATGTTTGTATTCGGGACGGGCAACTCCAGAGTAACAGTATTGTTGGAATGGTTATATTCGCTTATCTATTCCTTTTTTGAGGGTGTGTGTGTGTGTGGGGGGGCATACCTGGCAGTGCTAAGGGCTTACGCCTTCCTCTGCACTCAGGGATCATTCCTGGTGCAGTTCAGGGGATGATATATAATGCTAGGGGGTTGAATCCACGTCAGCATGTACAAGGCAGGCATAGGCCTATCCACTGCACTATCACTCAGGCCATCAAAAGTCCCAAGATTTTTGGCCTTTGAGATTAAGTCCATAAATTACTGTGATGCCTGAAATGATGAATTAAACAATTTTTAAAAAGCCTTTTAAATTTACAAAGCAAAGTACTATGTAGGTTCATCCCATTTTTCAAATTTCCTTTCAAAGAAGAAACAATGAAGAAATACTATACATTCTAATGATAAAATGTAATTTGTTACCTCAGATGTCAGCCATATGTCAAAACCATCATTTTCATCCAGTGTGTCAGGTATGAGAGGAATCAAAGATACAAATCGAGCAATGAGGTCCTAGAACAATAGTAACTAACATGTATTGAGTGTATACTAGATGTCTATCACCAAGCATTAATGCTTTAGAATCATTATTATTACATTTCAAGAATTCTGAGAGCCTATGAAACTCACAATTATTTTTTACTTATAGAAGAAAAAAACAACTGGGAAAACAGCGCGTACTATGTGGGTTTCAGGCCAGAGAGCTAGTACAGTGGGTAAGTGCTCCCAGAAGATCCCTGAGTACTGTCACTGTCACTGTCTTCCTGCTGTCCATCAATTTGCTTGAGTGGGCCCAGTAATGTCACCATTGTGAGACTTGTTGTTACTGTGTTTGGCATATCAAATATGTCACGAGTAGCTTGCCAGGCTTTGCCGTGCGGGCAAGATACTCTCAGTAGCTTGCCGGGCTCTCCGAGAGGGGCGGAGGAATTGAACTCGGGTTGGTCAGGTCAGCCTCATGCAAGGCAAACACCCTACCCTCTGTGCTATCGCTTCAGGGTACAGAGTCAGGAATAAGCCCTGAGTACTGCTGGTATGGCTCCAACTGTACTAACTTGAAAAAAGGGATTGAAAAACCAAAACTTGTTTTGTTAGTTACTGGGCCACAGTCAGAAGTGCTCAGAACTTACTCCTGGCTCTATGCTCAGGGATCACTTCTGGCTGGACTCACCCATATGGGGTAGCGGAGATTGAACCCAGGTCAGTCATGTGCAGGCCAAGTACCCTAACTGCTGTACTATCTCTCCAGCCCCTGACTTGCTTTTAATGTTCAAAATCTATCAGAGTTACTGCTACCATTTCATTATAATTTTTATTGATGTGAGGGATTACATAGTGATTTCTGGGTTTAGTAGTGCTCAGAGGTCACCAGGGTCACAACTGGTCATAATGCTGGGGTGACAGGAGCAGAATTGTTTTCATCAACACAATTTTATTGAGATGGTAAACAGAAAGATCCTGGCACAATCTGCTTTTTCAAACAACAGCAATTATATCATAGATTGTTCCCCATATGGGGCTGGAGAAAAGGAATCAGACCAAAGTAGAAAAAGAGAAAGGGCTAGGAATAGATAAGCCACAAGACAAGATAGAAGACCACTAACATTTTCCCTAATTTAAGGTAGCTGAAATTATTTTGCAAAATTATTTTGATACATTACTATCAGATATGTCATATGTTCTTCTTGGACTAGTGGGGAAGGGTTTGGACCACATGATGATGCTCAGGAACCACTCTTGGCAAGCTTCGGGGACTATATAGGGTGTTGGGGTTGAACCGAAGTCCACTATGTGCAAGGCAAATGTTCTCCCACTGCTCTGGTCCCACAAGCCATATTTTCTGATTTTATTCACGTGATTAAACATAGTTCATAATTCTTCATAAGTCAATGAACTAGAATTTAGTCTTTTTAAAAAGACAAAAATCAAGGCCAGAGAGAAAGTACAGTGAGTATAGTTGTGCTTGCCTTGCACTCAATATGGTTCAATCCCCAGTGTCCCATATGGTCCCCCTGAGGCCCACCAGGAGTAATTCCTGAGTGTAGATCCAGGAATAACCTGAGAATTACTTGGTGTGACCCCCAAACCAAATAATAATAAAAGTTAAAACATGAAATTGTCCTTGAAATAAATATATTTTTAATATTAATACTAAAAATATAATATTAAAAAAATAATATTAGTGCACTATCTACTTGGACATTGGTTGGGTATCAGAAAATAGACAGGAAGAAGCAGCTTATGTTGGAAAAGGAGATTATAAAGCAAAAGAAAGTCCTATGATTTATGGACTTATGATTATATTTTTCTTTTTGGGTCACATCCAGGGATGCTCAGGGGTGATGCTCAGGGGTTACTCCTGACTTTGCACTCAGGAATTACTCCTGGCGGTGCGTGGGGGATCATATGTGATGCCAGGGACTGAACCTGGGTTGGCCACGTGCAGGCAAATGCCCTATGCGCTTTACTATTGCTCCGGCCCCTAGGACTTACGATTTTATCTCAGAATTCAGCTAAGGGAATTTTATGGTGGAGAGAAAATACAAATATTCCAAGGAGAGGGGGCGGAGAGGTAGTAGAGCAGGCAGGGCACTTGCTTGCATGTGGCTGATCCGGACTCAATCTCTGGCATGCTGTGAGGTCACTTGAGCACTGCCAGGGTGCTCAACAAACAAACAAACAAACAAAGAAAAACAAACAAAAATACATTCTGAAAAGAGTCAACTGACTCCAGTGGAATAAATTACGGGTTGATGAACAAAATAAAAATGGAGATAGCAAACACAGGCCAGATGAAACTGTGATGGCTGTGAAAGGTAAGTGGCTGAGAAGCTAAGCAGATTAGAGAGGATTTTTTTGAGGACAGAAGAACTTGAAGGATGTTTTTAAACAGATTGGGGAAAGAGACTGTAGGGGAGGGACTAAATTTAAGAAAGGAAAAAGATCTTTGCTTGATTTCTGAGCAATTAAAGTACACCCACCCTCCCACATAGGTTAACATCTATTTAAAATTTTTTTTGGATCAGTAATACCCAGGCTACAAATAATTAGAAATTTGATCTGTACATTTACCAGCAGTATAACAACAGGACACAGATACTCATTGCAGCACTGTTTATCATCCAAAAATTAATGCGTATGAGTGTTGACTCCAACATGGATTGGTAAAATGAATCACTTGTCATTCAATGAATAAACAAGGTAAAATGTCACACAAAAGAAAAGTAAATAAATTAAAATAAAAATTTGAAGTGATAAGTCTAAAACTCAGCCTTATGATAGCTGCACAGCTGTGCATATGCTATTGTACATACCTCATGTAAATCTCAATCAAAGTCAATAAAGGTAACTTACAAGTGTTGAATTAGAATCACGAAGAAACATATCCAGAAGTTGTTGAGGTGGATTTAATGCCTTGATATATCTTGTTACTAAGATCTGTATCCCTTCCTCATTAAAAACAGTAGTTACGATTCTTCGGTTAGGAAATTCTGCTTTGCAGCCTTTTTTAAAGGTCCATGCTCTCTGCAAAACATCTATTTGATCTGAAAACTAGAATCAAGTTTAAATAATTCAACATGATAGCATATTATGTTTACAGGACTATATCAAGAACCCAATATTCATTTCTGTCAGCTTTTAAATTGTATATTTTTGCCAGCTTTGAAATCATTAATAGTTTCATCTTAATTTATTTATTAACATTTATCTTTTCTGGGTGGGCCCATCTGGTGGTGCTCAGGGGCTATACCTTGCATATTTCTTGGAGATTGCTCCTGAAAGTTCATGCAGGGGACCATGTGGTGTAGGGATCAAAACTCTGACATGCAAAATCTGCACACTAGCCCTTTAAGCTATCTCTCCGGCCTTAATACTAGTTTCTCAAATAGTTTACACTTGCTTGATAGTGTATATAAAATAATTCAACATAAAACCTACCTTGTCTAGTTCTGGATTACAAGTGACATAGGATATTTGAGGTTCAATAGTAGCAAAAATATTTAAAAATGTAGATTCTTTTAAATTCTGCCCATTATAATCTTTAGGAGACACAGAAGTCTTACTCCAAGCGTACCCAAATAAAACTGGAGGGATATTTACTTGAAATGTTCCATTAATCTGAAGGAAGACATCAATATAAGATTCCATATGAGTGACTATACTAGAGCCACACTTAAGTCTTTCCTGCAGAAGAAAAAGGATTACATGGTATGGGCTGATGCTAACAACTTGTACTTACACAGATACGATTGGGTTCTCCACAGTGATCACTCCACAGACCCCCGGTACATTGGGACCTTGTTTTAAAATGTACTATGTGGAGAGGGCCCAGTAACGTCTCCATCGGAGACTTTGTTGTTACTGTGTTTGGCATATCGAATACGTCACGGGGAGCTTGCCAGGCTCTGCCTTGCGGGCGAGATATTAGGAGAAATGACCTTTGTGATGTGTGTATGTGTGTGTGTGCGCACACATGTATATATGCACACACATCTGTACACAAGGGGAGGAGATTTTTACAATCATCATAACTAATAATACCTAATAGTTAAATGAGAATTTATGTGCAAAATACTGTTCAAGTGCTCAATATAGATCTTATTCAATTAGCTTGGTACCGCAATAGCACTGTAGCACTGTAGAACTGTCCTCCCGTTGTTCATCGATTTGCTGAAGTGGGCACCAGTAACGTCTCCAGTGTGAGACTTGTTGTTACTGTGTTTGGCATATCGAATACACCACGGGGAGCTTGCCAAGCTCTGCCGTGTGGGTGGGATACTCTTGGTAGCTTGCCGGGCTCTCTGAGAGGGACGGAGGAATTGAACCCATGCCGGCCGCGTGCTGGGCAAATTCCCTACCTGCTGTGCTATCGCTCCAGCCCAGTACCGCAATAATCATCATTATTTACTTAAATCTCTACTTCATAGACAAGAAAACTGAAGGTTTGTGAGTTTGTTTGTATGAGATTACAAAACTAATGAGTAGTGAAGCCAGGAGTACAACCCAGGCTTGGCTACCTTTGATAATCACAATTTTTCTTATTTATAAATCACATTTATTTACTAAGATGGTCAAATTAAAAACCCTGTTATGCTAAATATATAATAAAAAACCTGGAATCATAACTGTGACATATAAAATATCTTTAACATGTATCATTTTTTAATATTTATTCTCTAGTGCATTATTTCAGTTTGGGGGAGGGCTTGTCCAGTAGTGCTCTTGATTTACTTCTGGTGGTCTAGAGAAACTTTTTGGGGTACTGGGGATTGAACCTGGGTTACTGCCCCAGCTTCTGGCTCCTATTCCACATTTTAAACTATTTCTCTATTCCAGAGTCCAACTTAGAACAACACTAATTGATAGAGACATAATTCTAACCCAAAAAGACTCATATGTTTTGCAAATCACATCTTTAAGGAATGTATGTTTTCATAATACCTATTTTTTTCTTTTTGGGTCACACCCGGCGATGCACAAGGGTTACTCCTGGCTCATGCACTCAGGAATCACTCCTGGCGGTGCTCAGGGGACCATATGGGATGCTAGGAATCAAACCTGGATTGGCCACATGCAAGGCAAATGCCCTACCCGCTGTGCTATCACTCCAGCCCCAGTACCTATTTTATTCCTCTACCAAAGCACTATTTCATTATAATGTTGTACTGAAATGTCTGTTTTTTTCTGACAATTAACTTCTAAAAGTAGAAAATTCATTTATGAATCTTCTGGGTCTGGTACAGCCTCAGCCCTGTAGTAGCTTACCTAAAATCAGATTACTCAAGAAAGAAGTGACAAAACCCTAAATAATCTGGATTGTGGGTTTTGGGTTTTTTAAAAAATTGTTTTACTGTTATTTAGTCATATTCTTGCTGCAAAATCAAGACAAAACACTTTGGAGTGTGGGGAGGAGTTGCATTGCAGAGATGACAATCATCATCATTTATTTAATTTATTGAATCAGTAAACAATGTCGAGCAGCTGAGACTTCTATAACTAATGGTTACAATGCAACATTGTTAACCTGAAAATTTGTGAATTTGTCCCATAAAACTATGTGCTTTGTAATGGAATACTATGCAGCTTTTAGGATGAAGTAATGAAATTTGCTGATAAGTGGATAGACATGGAGAGTATCATGCTAAGTGAAATGAGTCAAAAAGAGAGGGACAGACATAGGACTGCACTCATTTGTGGAGTATAAAATAACATAACGTGAGACTGACACCCAAGGACAGTAGACACAAGGGCCAGGAAGATTGCTCCATAGTTGGAAGCCTGCCTCATGAGTGGGGGGAGAAGGCAGCTGGAATAGAGAAGGGACCACCAAGAAAATAATGGTTGGAGGAATCAGTTGGAATGGGAGATGTACGCTGAAAGTAGATAGTAGATAAAGGACCAAACATGATAACCTCTCACCATTTGTATTCCAAACCATAATACCCAAAAGTAGATAGAGAATATGGGGGAAATTGTTTGCCACGGAGGCAGGGAGAGGGTTGGAAAAGGTGGGTATATTGGGGAAATTGGTGGTGGGGAATGTGCACTGGTGGAGGGATGGGTATTTAATCATTGTAAGACAGCAACTCAAACATGAAAGCTTGTAACTGTATCTCACAGTGATTCAATTTAAAAAAAACTATGTGCTTTGTCAATGAACACTATATAAGAAAATAAATCTCGTGAGTGTACCCTTTTGTAGACAGCTAAAATCTCCAATCACTTAGTGTCAGGCTTATTCTGACACTCAAATACAAGATCATTTTAACTAGTCAACAAACCTGCAAATCATAGAACCTGATTCAACCGACAACAATGTTTCCATTACCCAGAGATCAAAATTTAAAATAATTATCCAAAGATAGTTTTCTGTCACCTCAGATTGTTGCAGAAGAGCGGAGAAAGGGAAGACAATAGATCCGAGCCAATTTTTTCTTACATATGAATGACAATTGCAGCTCTTGAGACAGCGATCCTATAAAGATATAGAAATTTTATATATTTTCCTTGACTTAAGATGCTATCATGCTCAAATAGAACCATCCTAAGTCAAAACTATGCAACCCTACACGGGAGACTACCTGGGGGCAAGGACTTCGTCACTGCCCAGTCTCAACACACAGGAATCATTCCTTTGATGTCATTGAAATGTATAGTACATAAAATAATGGACTATTTATAAAGCATACCTATTATTAAAGGTAAACTGTACTAAATAATATATTTTCAAGGCTAAAATAAAAATTCAGAAACAGAGGACAGCTAATAAGCCAGCTGCAGAGATAAAACAATCATAAAAATAATATAGCAATTAAAAAAACTGCAGGAAACAAATAGCAGCTTCTGGAATAATCTGAAAACAAATAAAAGCTCAAATGGTCAATAATTACACAAAATGTTAAATAACCATGTATTAACGGTATTAAATCTGAGTGAAAAAAATGTGACTCAACTATACGCTGTCTATAGTAAATCCATTTAAAATACAGAGATATAGGTTAAAAAGAAAAAAAGGAGAAAATATATCACATGCAAACAAAATTAATAGGTGGAACTACTATATTTATTGCAGACAAAGCAGATTTAAGAACAGGCGACACAACTAGAAACAAAGAGGTTTATTTCAAAGTGATAAATTTATTCAAGAATAACAGAAACAAAATAAGAAGAAAAAGGGCTACGTCTAGCAGTGTGGAGTGGCCATGTGGTGTGCTGAAGAACTAAGGGTCCTTTATAGGTGCAAGATGTGTTTTCTACCTCTTGGGTCACCTTCCTAGCTCTGAAATACAATTTAAGAGTAGAGTTACAAAATAGACAGCAAAAACAGAGCTCAAAAAATAACATACCAAAAACAGTTGAAGAATTTGTCATCATCAGAATTTATTAATTTGGTGTTTTAGGACCACACCCCATAGGTGCTCAGGCCTTTCTCCTGGCTCTGTTCAGGGAATATTCAGGGATCACTCTTGACAGAGTTTAGGGGACTATGTGTGGTGCCAGGGATTGAACCGGGGTTGGCTATGCGTAAGCAAAGTGCCTTAACTTCTGTACTATCTCTCTGGCCCCAATCAGCAGAATTTAAACCTTTGTTCTTCAAAAGACAGTTAAATAAGAGAAAAAATGAACATACTACACAATGAGAAAAATATTTGTAAATCATTTTATCATCTGAGTATTTTTTATATAGAATTTACAAAGAATTTCAAAACTCAGTAAAAAAACCTGTCCAACTAGAAACACAAGCAAAAAATGGAATAACATACCAGATAAAAGCTAGATGGATGACAAATACCTGAGAAGGTATTAAACATCATTAGTTATTAACAAATGCAAATTAAACCCACAATGAGATACTATACATAGTAGTGTATTTATTAGAATAGCTAAAGTGTTGAAGTCCAAGCAAGTGGATTTAAAAAATTTTGTTTTGTTTTGCTTTGAACCACACTCTACTCCTGACACTGCATTGATCAACTCCATGAAAGACAAATGATGTAACCCCAAACTCTCTCTGGCTCATGAACAAGTGCTTTTAAGTATTTAAAAAAGTATTTAAAAGAACTGGGATGGTAGTTTCATATATTGCTAGTGGAAGTAAAAAATATGATGCCGTTACATTAAAAATATATTTGTCATTTCTTAAATATCCAGTTCCATACAGTTCAGCCATTCTGCTCCTACAGGTACCCGTGAAAACAGGAAAGTCCATAAAGACTTGTACACAAGGGCCAGAGCAATAGTACAATGCCTTGTACAAGGTGGGCCTGTGTTTGATCTTGGGAACCCCAAATGGTCCCCAGAGCCCTGCCAGGAATAATCCTTGAGTGCAGAGCCAGGAGTAAGCCCTGAGCACAGCCAGTTTGGCCCCCAAAACCAAAAGGTTAGAAACAAAAAAGAAAGAATAATGCAAAAGTCAATCAATAGGTTAATTTATTAACATATAACAGGATATATATTTACTAGTGGGGTACCACTACATAATAAAACACAACAACCCATTTGATAAATATAGAATAAATCTCAAAACAATTTTTTTTCACTGAAATAGACCAAAAAATAGTGGGGCAAGGACACAAAGAAAAGCTCCCTGGGAAACCTCACAACTCACAACTTTAAGTGACCTTGTAGACCTAGAAACTCCTGCCCTTCATGACAACATGAAGAAAATTTTATAACTATCTCTATGCTCTTCTTTAATATTTATCCACTCAAGTCTCATAACATATCATTCACAGCGATCTCACATCTGTTCTACCACATGGTGCAGAAACCAGGAGACAGATAATGCCACCTGAGACCCTAGCCTCCATACTTTGTCACCTCTTCTGGGGGACACTTCAATGCCTGATGCACATTCACTAGAACAATTTGATCACAAAGCCATAACATCCTCCTATTCTCCTCACACATTTTTTCCCCCATACACATACCATATTGCCCCCCAAATCCACCAAGAGTGATTCCTGAGTGTAGAGCAGAGCCAAGAGTTACCCCTGAGCATCACTGGGTGTGACCCCAAAACAACCCACAATAGCTAGATAGCACAGCCGGTAGGGAGTTTGCCTTGCACGCGACCGACCCAGGTTCAATTCCTCCATCCCTCTCGGAGAGCCCGGCAAGCTACCGAGAGTATCCTGCTGCCACAGCAGAGCCTATCAAGCTTCCCGTGGCGTATACGATATGCCAAAAACAGTAACAAGGAGTCTCACAATGGAGACGTTACTGGTGCCTGCTGGAGCAAATTGATGAACAACGGGAGGACAGTGCTACAGTGCTGCACATACATTTTCCTTCATTCCTTGCCAAATCCTTCATTCTCAATGAACACTGAAAGTCAAGAAATTTTTCTATCTGGTTGTCTTTTAAAATGAGTCTGTTCTGTCTTTTCCCCAACTTCAGTCTCTGACTGAGCAGTCCAAAAGCACAATTCTATTACTCTCTGCTTGAACTTGACTTTATTATCTGCACGGTTTCCTTTGCCTTCCCCTGGTTGTCGCAAAACCTACGCTCTCATTTCCTTAGTTTCAGGATTGGTTCTTCCAAATTCTCCAGTCCCAGTTTCAGAATCTGATATGACAGAGTCATTTCTGTGCCTGTTCATGGTCAAACAGAAACAAGTGAAACAGGTCCCATCCTTCTTTTAATTGGCATTCTATTGGGGACAGGAGCAGGGCATATCCACGGAGACCTAAGATCTTAACCTTAACTTCAGAAGAAGCAATAAAACCATTAACAACTTCCATGGAAGCTGTTCATCAACAGCTCAATTCATTAGTAGCCAGAGTTTTGCAGAACATGAAAAGCTTTAGCTCTGCTCACAGTCAACCAAGGAGGAACTTGCACATAATCTGGGAGACAAATGCTGTCTTTATATGTTAATGAGATATAATTCCTTGGGAAAAATTTAAAATAGGACATGCCACTTAATTAAATCATACCAAGTTGGAGTTCTGAATGGAAAATAAACATGTGGTCTTGATTCATATGGCTGGTGACACTTATCCCCTATCCTTCTGCAGCAAATGCTCAGTCATCTGTTCCTTTCATCCAGCAGGTAATCAACAGATACATTATGCTTCCCGACAGCAGATAGCATTTAAGATTTTACCTTGAACATGGCACTTATACCTTGATGGCTCTTGATACAGATCTTGATATAATAGCTAGACCTATGGCCCCTATTCAGATAATTCATTTACAAAAAAATAAAAAGAGTATCTGTCCAGGTTGGGATATTAAGGGTTAAATTCATCCAGACAGTCTTTATAAATTACAATTCTACAATCTCTGGCAAGGACACATTCATCCTGTGATAGTCCCTTTACAGGAACCTTGAAGATATCAAATCCCTGGCTTTCACCAGCCACCTGGAAAGAAGTCTATCCAGAAGAAATTGTATTTTAAAATATTTATTAATGTTTTTCTTTGTTCTGTATGAGCTAACCTGTAAAGCACACTGAGTATATAAATCTGCTTCTCTTTTCTCTAGGGTTCAGAGAATCTATGATCTGTTGTGCCTGTCACAACAATGTGAAGTAAACTTTATAATTCTTCCTCTCCTTCTCCCTCTTTTTCATACCCAGCTGTGCTTAGGGCTTACTTCTGACTCTGTGCTCAGGGATCACTCCTGGAGGCTGGCTATTTGGTGCTAGGGATCAAACCTAGGTTGGTCACATGCAAGGCAAGTGCCCTGCCAGCTGTACTATTGCTTCAGATCTTATGCTCTTCTTTAATATTTACCCATTTGATAGCCCTAATCTATAACTCATGACAATCTCATATTTGTTCCATCAAAGTAAATATCATATAATGCCATTTATAATTTTCTTTCTAAAAAATATAAACTATAGTGACAAGAGGTCAATCAATCATTGCCTTGGATGGTAAGTGCAGAGGTGGGATGGAAATATGTTAATGGAAAGAAAACCATTTGCGCATTATGAATATGTTCATTACTGATTGCAATGGTTTCATATAGACATGCCCAAACATTTCAAATTAAATGCTTTAAATATATTCAATTGTTAGTTTGCAAAAATTACTTATTAATATTGTTATTTTTATAATGAGAGAAAGCATATGTAGTGGGGAAAGAAGGGATTAGAGCTGAAAGCAACTGGCGGGTATGTTAACAGTCATAGTGGTCAGTCTTTTGATAAGTGACTTTGAGAGTTAGAGTGGGGGCTGAATTACAGCAGCACATTTGAGAGTGCACATACTGCTGAAATGGTAATGAAGACTAGAGTTAGAACACTAACACAAACATTACAATATCATAAAAAATTACTTTGCTACAATGTAATAAAACTAAAATTTATAATAAAAGGTTTATGCTACTATCACTCAATATTTGAAAAAACATAATATTATATAGCTATTAATTCAAAGAGGACATAAATGTATTACAAATACATGGGAAATAAGTGAAAAATAAAGTAAGTAACCCAATGTAACAGATACAGACAGATTTTTTTTTCTCTTTTGGTCACACTTGGCGATGCTCAGGGGTCATTCCTGGCTCATGCATTCAAGGAATTACTCCTGGTGGTGCTCGGGGGACATATGGGATGCTGGGAATCGAACCCGGATCTGCCGCATGCAAGGCAAACCCTCTACTGGCTATGCTATCACTCCAGTCCCAGAGAGATGTTTTTAAAGAGAAATTCATTCTAGAGTAACAGTGAGTGAGTGGGTGAGTTAACAAGCTAGATATTTGGCCAAAATAAGTACAAAATTTAGTTTTGAGGAAATCAGGAGAAAAAGCAAAAAAGCAAGTAGTAACACGGACAAAATTCAGATTTGGCATTTTATGAAAAGTGAATGGTTTATATGCATAGTTATTCTTACAACCCAGTCCATGAGAGGAGGGCAAGAATACGTCACACAAAAAAGCATGTCAACAATGTCCATACAGAAGAGGTATCTAAAGAATGTTGCTTGCATTCAATAATAACATGAAACGTGCAAGAATTCAACTGCTAATCAACTGCTATTAACATTAACTGCTGATAAAACTGATTGAGATAATTCACTTTTGAAAAAGTCTTAGCATTCTTTTGAATTTTCTAAGTTCTCCCTCCTTATTATTTAAATAATAAGATTAACTCCTTAGATAATTGCTTTCATATTGTAAGTTTAATATTTTACCTTTAATTTTATTAACAGTTGATAGAAAATGGTTTCTAATGATTGTATCATTTGGGGAACTGGATTGAAGACTCATTCCTGAACTATAAGATTTTTTTTCCTTACATTTTTATTAGTGAAACACCATGAAGTACAGTTGTAGACTTACAAATTTTTGTGCTTGGGTTTCAGTTATACAATGATCAAGTACCCATCCCTCCACCAGTGCCCATTCTCCACCCCTACCAATCCCAGTATCCCTCCCACACCCCATTCCCCCATCCCACCCTGCCTCTGTGACAGGGCACTCCCTTTTGTTCTCTCTCTCCTTTTGGGTGCTGTGATTTGCAAAAAAGGCATTGGGTGGCAATCATGTTCAGTCTATAGTCTACTTTCAGCATGCATCTCTCATCCTGGGCGGATCTTCCCAACACCCTTTATTTGATGCTCCCTTCTCTATCTGAGCTGCCTTTACCCATAGAGTGTGCGGCTGGGCTCCAAGCCATGGAGTGAACCTCCTAGTATTTATGACAGCTATTCTTGGGCGTTATTAAACTAAGATTTAAGGTATACTTCAATTTCTCTGACACTGATTCCTAATCCTCTAGGTAAAAATAACTCCTTCAATAGTATTACCCTATACTTTGAAAGAAATTTATATTAAAGCATCTAAATTTATATTAAAGAATTTTGGGACTCTTTAGAATTTATAATTTTGAGAATATTTATACTTTTGATGTCAACTTTAATAGAAAAGTAATAGTTACTCTACATTTGAATGGCACTAAGGCATTATGTTAGTCACTTGCATATAACATAAGAGAGTAATTTTATTTTATTTTTATTTATTTATTTTGCTTCTTGGGTCACACCCAGCGATGCACAGAGGTTATTCCTGGCTCTGCACTCAGGAATCACCCTGGTGGTGCTCAGGGGAACATAAGGGATGCTGGGAATAAAACTCGGGTTGGCCGCGTGCAAGGCAAACGCCCTACCTTCTGTGCTATTGCTCCAGCCCCGAGAGTAATTTTAAAAATTGAATAGAGTTGAGTTTTAGTCTGAGGAAAAATTTGATCTCATTTGTATAAGGGGTATATTTTTCATCAGTGGGAAATATCCAATCCATTTTTATTTATCTTTTTATCTTGGTTGCTAGGAAATGTACATTTTTCAACTGTGGAAATCCATTTCTCAAAATTCTTGGTGTATGAATCATTCTTTGTATGTGGTTTATGATATTATTATTATTATTATTATTATTATTATTATTTTTGGCCACACTTGTCAGTGCTCAGGGCTTAGTCCTGGAGGTACTCAGATATCAGGCAGTGTGGGGCGTAGAACATTAGCAACATACAAAGTAAGCACTTTAATCCCTGTGATATCTCTGCAGTGCCTCCCCTACAATGTCATTTATGATAGAATTATCATTGCTTATTTAATTTCAAGTTATCCCAAATGCATTCTAAAATGTGTTGTAAACAAATGCTGTATCTAAAAGCAAGTTTATAGAAAATTGTTAGAAATTTATAGATATATGCAGTATGAACTTATAATCATTTCAACACTATAATTGTTCTACATTACCTCATGTTTTTCAATAATCATTTCATCAAAAATGTTGATATATATATTATCTTTTATTTTAGATAGGCTTGAGAAACTATAATTATGTCCCGGTGAACTGGAAAGAAGAAAAGAAGAGTCACATTTAGACATCTCACCACCACTGCCATGTACGCTCATATACCAGTCTCGAAAGAGGTCAACTAGCTGCGAAAGATACACAAGTCTCTCACTGAGAACTCCAGGGTGCATTCAGAAGGGAGCGGGCCAGGTCCCTGCCCTACCCAAGCCCAGTAAGCTACACTCACACCCCAACAGCTGATGCTGATAACTAGGGCATACTCCACCGCCTCAGAACTGACTCTGCAGAGATGCCAAACTGCCAAAAATTTCAGGAACATCATTTGGGGGGTAGGGCTGAGAACCCGGACCTTATTGGAGTGGGGTTGGGCAACCTCCCCTAATGCCCTGTATTTCCAGAAGTGCCAGCAGCTACACCGATACCCAACCATCTTCTCTCTGTAAACTCACTGCCCAGATAATTATTCGGGATTTTCTTGAGTGCGCAGTGCACAGTACACAGTTGCATTTGTGGCTGCTGGACAGCTCTAAACTCTACAATGCTAACATCCCATGAGGGGCATACCAGATTGGATGGGAATGTAATGTAGATGCCAACTAAACTCAATTAACAGAAACATTAATACAGAAGGCTCAACTTCAACAACTAGTAACCTTCAGATAAGGAATGGTGCGATATAACAATTTTCACATTTTTTTTTTACGGAAGTAGTTTTTGAAAATTCCACTAGCTATTTAGTGGTAACAAGCAATATAAAATAAATAAGCAATCTTGGACCTACTATGGGGGGCAAGTTTGAGGGGTGGTTGGAAAAATGGGGACAATGCTGGTGGGATTGGTGTTGGAATATTGAATTTCTGTAACAAATATATCATGAATAACAACAACAAACTCAACAGCAAACCTCGGTGTTTAAAGAAAAAAACACATTTAAATGGTTTCTTTTATAGGTGCTTATTTGAATGAGTTTATATGAAATAACCCGAGTAATTTTTTTTAATGTGTAAACTAAGAAAAGCTATATACCCTGAAGTGTGGCTGATATTTTCATCAAAACCGGCATGTGCTTTTTCATTTATCATGTATCAATCTTAAGGCAATTTGTATGAAAAATCAAAACATTTATAAAGATAGCAAATAGGAGACTTTCACTATAGTCCTCTATTGAAAACAAATTATCCGGCATCTGGTGTGTTAAGATTTTCCAACCCTCTTAAATTCTGCTAATTTCTGTTTGTCCACACAGAGTTAAACTGCTCTTTAGCTAAGTTAAAAGATATGACTGTTTAACCACAGAGCTTCTGTTCACACTTCTATATTTATTACTTCCAACCAGAATTTGGGAAAGTGAAGTGTATATTGATGGCTTCCTCCATTGGATACATTTTTGAAGGCAGCTGTCAGGTTATATGCAATATATATCACAAGAACTGCCCTTCTCAGTCTAGCTTGTGTATTGGATCTTTTATTTATGTATGTATGTATTTATTTATTTATTTATTTTAAAATGAGGCACTGTGGTTTAGAATACCATTAATGGTAGGGTTTCATGCTTAATATCATCTAGCACCACAAATGGTGCTAGATGATATTAGCTTTCAACAGAGTGTCTACTTTCTTCCACTTGTCCCGGTGACTTTGTTCTACACCCACTCATCCCCACTCCCCTGAAGTGTTCAGCTTCCTTCCTAAGACTAGTTATTCATCCTTCTGTTGCTTTTGAGCATTTTCTTGGTATGTTTCTTGATATCCTACACAGGAGCAGAATCTCAGACTCCTAATAGCATAAAGGAGGAAGTGGCAATATACTTCCTGATGTTCTGGCCTTGTGAGACATGCCTTGCATATGCTGCTTCTCTTAATTCTTCCCAAAGGTACTACAGAGCTGATGCTGCTCTGGACACTGTAGAGCCTAAGGAACTTGAGAGGGGTGAAAGGAATCCCTTCCAAACAACTCATTTTGGATTAGGGGGAGCAATCTTGACCCACTCAACTTCAAATATTTGTTCCAGCAATGTGTAGATTTAATTCAATCCCTATAAAAATTATACTGATATTTTAAGGAAATAGAGCAGAAATTCTATTCATCTGAGACCCTCAATATCTTCTGAGAAAAGGAAGATAAATGAACGTATTCTGTTACTTGGCTTCACTATACTATAAGGAGAAAGTAATTAGAGAATTATAGGAAGTTGTGCAACCATTTTGAAGTACCCAAGCATTTTAAATTGTTGGAGTACCCAACCATTTTGGAATACCCAAGCATTTTATGATTCAGTCATTTCACATCTGGTTAATGGAAATGACAAATTTAGAAGTTGTATCTGTCCCAATGTTTCCAATAGAATTATTTATAATAGTTAAGATACAGAAATATCCAGTGTCTAACAATAACATTAAGATATGATATGTATTAACAATAAAATAGTATTCAGCTGTAAAGAAGATAACAATTGTGTCATTCTCAGCAATACGAAAGAAAATCAAGGTTTGTGAACTGCATAAATCAGGAGAAAAACAAATACTGGATTATGTCACTTGTATAATATAGGGAAATAAAATTAATAATTGGATAAAAAAATGTCGATCAAACTTCTAACAGCTCAGAGTGGTTAACTTATTCAAGGCAATGATATCATCAAGGAACAGAGTCCTAATCTGAACCTAATTTTGATGGTCTCTAAAGGATAGGTTCTTTTTTTTTTTTGTTTGTTTGTTTTTTTCCCTTTATTTTATTTTATTTAAAGTTGTAGATTTACAATTTTTTGTGCTTTGGTTTCAATTATACAATGATCAGATACCCATCCCTCCACCAGTGCCCATTTTCCACCACCATGGATAATATCCCTCCCATCCCCCCTGTCTCTGTGGCAGGGCAATCCCCTGTGTTCTCTCAGGATAGGTTCTTTTAATTACATCAGCTGCCACTGCCATTATTTGTCAATGTTTTTGCTTAAAGCAATAATTATTTTAAAAGTATCTACAAAAATGTCTGTAGCTTTTTTTTGTCTTGTTTTTGTGCCACATTCAACAGTGCTCAAGGCTTACACCTGGCTCTATTCTCAGAAATCACTCCTGGAGGGCTGGAGGGGGGAACCATATGGCATGCCAGGGATCAAACAAACCCATATCAGCCAGGTGATAGGCAAGCTCCCCACCCTCTGTACTATCTTTCTGGCACCAAAGAGTTTCGCAATAACTTTTGAGACCTACAGATAGTGAAATTGAAAACTATAAATTGAGAAAACAATTTTTTAAAGTTGAAAGTTCCTTATGACAAACCTACAAGCTCCTTCAAAAGTTCCCTTGCATGCAATATTTGACTAAAGAATCCACATGTTTATTTACAACATTATACAGGAGAAGGAATGGTAACTGTCAATCTCAAGACACTTCTGAATGTGTCAACTTAGTATGACCCTTCATTCAAGCCCTGCATTGTTCTTTCTTGTACTTTTGCATTCTATTCTAACTTCCCTCAAATTTCATCAAATTTATCCTACAAAATAGAACTTACAATGCAAATTATCTACTTGTGATTAGTATCTATCCCATTTGCACGTCATTTTTATTTAGTATAGTATCACATGAAGAAGGGAAATGAGTTTATGTATCTAAGGGAATGCTTGAACCTGCTGAATCAGTTGGTTGTATTCTAAATATGTTCTTGGCTTCTCTCACTGCTGCAACTCCAAGAACTCAAATACTCTACAGCCTCCTCTTTAGTTACCATAGAAGCTAACTTGTCTTATTGATAATTTTGTTCTCCCAAATCTGTTTTATTCTAACTCAAATGTCTAATTACTAGACGAAATGCTTCTAATTATGCACATCTCTAATTTATATTTCTATAAACATTTTAACCAAATACATATTATTTATTTAATGTTGGGATGTCCATTCAGGCTAGAGCCTTAAGGGTTAAGTTCATTCAAATAGAGGCTTTGTGAGTAAATTCCACAAGTCCCTTACAAGGGCATTGAAAACAAAGCACCCTGTGATACTCAGCTTACAGATAAGGAGCTAAGGGCTAGTTTCAAATGACCTTGTAGATTCAGCAAAACTTACAAACTTATTATTGCCCTCCCAGTCAGCCGTGCCACCCAGGGAAAAGCCTTGCCAGAAGAAACTGAGTTTTTAAAAATAAAACTGTTTTTAAAAAATTCCATCAATGCTTTTATTTGTTCTGCATAGCTAATCTCTGCACACTAAAGCTCTCTGCATATAAAAACCCTGCATGCAAAACACTCTTCTCTGCACTCCCAGAATAACCAAACCCAGAGCACAGAGCAGAGGACAGCCCATGCACCCTAGCATTGCAAGGCATGGCCCCCAAACAAAACCAAACCGAACACAAAACAACAACAAAACCTCAAATCCCCCCAAAACAACACAAACCCAATTTTTCTTTCCTTGAGTAGCAAGAATCTCCTGGGATCTCTTGGGATCCTTTGTATTTGTGTAGAAGTAGTAAACTGTCATTTCAACACCTTCTTGTCTCCATGTCTCATTATCTACTTGCTCAATCTCAAACCTGTACCCTCTTAACATTATATAATATAAAATAATAAATTTTCCTTCCAGTCTATACACTCCTTCACACACGAGTGGTTTAAAAGGACACATAAACAAATATCAGGGAATACGGAAAAGCAAGAGGTACAAAGGCACAAATATGAGATTCTTTATTTAAGCATTCTACCCAGACTCAAGAAATATAATCGAGCCCCTATTAAATCTAGGCAAATATGCTCAATTTCTGCAACTGGAGAAGTATCTATAGCATCTAAGTTAAAAATAATTCCACCTATACTGATCTAGTTGGAGTTTTCCTCTCATCATGAACTAATGGCGTAAACAGGGTCTTTCTTGCAAATCTTGATCAGGGTCTGAAGGATTTTCAATCTGAGCATTTGTAGCTGCAGTGTGACTGTTCACGTAGTATAGATTGCCAAAGTTCTCTAGCTAAGAAGAATTGGAGAAAGCACAGGAGCAGGGTTTGTGCCCTCACCACTTGCCTGTGAGTCCTAAAGTTATTAAACTTTTTAGAAATTACTAAACAACTATGCAAGTTCCTGATAAAAGCCTACAACCAAGATCTTGTTATATAAACAAGTCTCATTGGAAAGAGTGGCTGGGCAGGCAGATTGTTTCATTTTGGGAATCAGGATTCACTCACAAAGATTAAGACACAGATTGTAGGTAAAATAGGTGAAGGGGGAGCAAGAGGTAAAAATATTCAAGATGGTATAAAAAGAAGTAGTAAATGTTGTTTGAAGATGTAGAAAATGAGAAGCCTTGCACACTATATGGGAATACAAAATGCTATAGTTCCCCGTGGAAAACAGAGTCCTCAAAAAACTAAAAACAGAAGTACCATATTATCCAGAAATGCCATTTCTGGATATTTATTCCAACGAACTGAGGCAAAATCTCAGCTCTCCACTAACATTCTTCTATTAGCAGTAGCCAATGTATGGAAACAACCCAAATATCTAATGACAAATGAGTGTGAAATACATAAATAATGTTGTATGCATGTGTACAAGAGAATACTAAAAGATAAAAAGAAAAACGTTTTTCATTATGTTGTATTGTAATATATGATGTGGGACACTATACCAAGCAAAAGTCAAGAAAGACAAATACTGCAGGATTCTACTTATATGTGAGGCAAAGGAAAAAACTCTCAAAATCATATCATTACAGCAGAATGGAGATTTCTAGCATCAGGGGAGGGAGAAAGGAGTTAATCAACAAGCATCAAGTCTTAGGCAAGCAATATGAATAAGCTCTGGCAATCTGCTACTGTAAAACCAGTATCAGTAACAATAATTGATACACTTAAGATAGAGCTCATGTTAAGTGTTGTTTACATGCTAAAAAATTCCAGTAGATTTTGAGAAAATCAAATTCCTCTCTGTAAAATTTTCATGTGAGCATAGGGCAGGCAGACCCAAAACAGCAGCATAGGCTACAGTCTTACTCTGGGTGCAATGTGACGAATTCCTTCTTCTACAGGTGAGTTTCATTTCTCCTATTTAGTTTTCAACTCATGTATGAGGGCTACCTGTTATAGAAGTGGCCCTGAGTACTGCTTAGGAGAAAATAAAGAAAAGTGGAATGTTCAGAGCAAAAAAATTTGCAATAATAAAACACTAAAAGAAGCCAAATGTGCAACACTAGAATAAGGGAAGGGAGGAATAACTGTAAATACGAAATAGATCAATCACTTAGAATAATTTAAGAGCAAAACACAAAACTGAAAGGATGGTCCATTTTATATAGAACTGAAAAACACCTGGGGTTGGAGAGATACTACAGCGTGTAGGGTACTTGTTTTAGAGGCGGCTGACCTGGACATATGGTCCCTGAGCACTGCCAGAAGTAATTCCTGAGTGCAAAGCTTTAGGTATTTCTAGGTGTGGCCCCAATACAAAACAAAATAGAAAAAGAATAGAAAAATATCGACAAATAAACCAGACTATTCTCTACAATGTGAAATTATGACAACAGAAAAAGGCAAATGGGGATACATAGAAATTTATGGTTGTGACTTCTGGGGGGGAAGATAGACACAATCAGTACTAATGCAGAAAGACCTTTAAACATATTGGTAATATTTTATGTTTCATACTGAATGGTAGAAAGCAAAGTGTTTATTTTTTATTATTTTTCTTTATAACGTATACTTTCATATACATCACATTCATTGACATCTATGTAGGAATATTTCATAATTTAAAAGCTTAAAAATAAAATATATTTTCAAATGAAACCTATTTTCAATAAATGGGTCAAGGAAAAATGTTATTGCTCCTCTTTTTAGGTGCTAAAGAAAAACTAAAACAAACTTACATAAAATTTGCTTTAATTTCTTCATTCCAGCATGGATGAGATCCACTTGCAATACTGGTTTCATATACAGTGTGTTGAAAGGAAACTTCTACAAAAGGACGTACGGTGTCCTAAAACACACAGTAAACACTGATGAGATTGTCATGACATTTTATATAGTGGACCAAAAAGTAGAACATAGTAAATTACTTGATTTCTGGCTAACAACCGAATGACAGACTTTTTTCTGTTTTTTCAGAAAATCATTATGCATTAATTCACCTAGTAAACAAGATGGCGGGGCCAAGATGGTTGAATAGGAAGAATCAACGCAACATCAACATATCTCTAGATGTTGCAGCTGTGTTGAACAGGACACTGGTGGGAAGGGACTCTCCTCAAGAGAGTAACCCCACTGTAGCAATAAGTGGCAGCCAGGCAAAGAAGGCTCAGGTGTACAAGCCCATCATGGAAGTGCGGAACTGGGAGAGGTGGAGGGGGAGTGAGAATAGCCAGGGAGAGACGTTGAGGCTTTAAGACATACAGAATTCTGTCCTGGAAAAACCAGGAAAGGTTAAGCATCAATTTAGCTCTTCAGTGCGACACTTATACACTTAATGCTGGAACAGTTGTCAAAAAACTATAAAACACAGGCATCTGCATTAGAAACAAGTGTCCCCTCAATGGCCTCTTGGAAACTTACTAAACATTATGAAGGAAATTTCCTTACATAAGCACCATTCAACCCAAGCTAAGGGTGGAGCAATAAGAAGCTGAAAAACAGCTCCTATAAGTCCATTATCTGATGGCTGGGGAGCAGTCAGAAGATACAGCTAGAAACAAGAAGTGCACTGCAGACCTCTCTTTACAGTGTTAACAGAAGTGTTTGCTGTGCCCCCCATTCAGCCCTAGAGGGCTTGGTCTGTGACTAAATCCCCTAGTTTCTTCATAAAACTGACACTCTCTCCCCACCCTCCAAACCCAAACAGATTACTCAGCCACTGGCAGGCCTGTGTGACCATAGGAAGAATGGTTCGGGGGCTATCAGAATCTGGCAATCTTGAACCCCTAGCTGCCACTCAGGCCCTTTGATATGAGTGAGGAGGGCAATCTTGAAGCCCATGTCACTCCACAGGTCTGCTGAAGCTTAACACAGATCTCCTCTGGGCAATTGTAACTACATACACCTATGATCCCAAAACTATATATATCACTGTCCTCCCATTGTTCATCGATTTGCTCGAGTGGGCCCAGTCTCCATTGTGAGCCTTCCTGTTACTGTGTTTGGCATATCGAATATGTCACAGGTAGCTTGCCAGGTTTTGCCCTGTGGGCGAGATACTTTCGGTAGTTTGCCGAGCTCTCCAAGAGGGTCGAAGGAATCAAACTTGGGTCAGCTGAGTTGGCCGTGTGCAAGGCAAACGCCCTCCCTGCTTTGCCAATTTTTCAAAAATGAAATGCCAATTTTTGTTTTTTTAATGCCAGAATTTTTCTTGGTATCCAAAATCAAATGATCACTAGAAATTTTAAAGTCTTGGGGGAATTGAGCTAGAAAACCAATAACAATAAAATATGAGATTATAAAATAAGAGAAATATATTCAACATAATAACTTAACATATATTCAACATAAAAATTTCCAGAGAGGAAATTTTCTGGGTTAAGGACAATTAAAAAACCTGTCTTGAATTTGAACTTGGCAACTTAAGTAGTAATTGATGTGACCAATAATTTAGAGCTGTGTATATTCCAGGTAAAGAAAGGATAAGTTTCATAAGGGGTTTTTAAAGAACAAGTATTATTTTGATATGACATTGCTGTGGGGTGATATGAGATTTGTGGATGATAGAACAGGTAATTAAAGATTTTATTTCCATTATAAACAGCTTGTACTTTATATTCTCTGAAATCTGGGGAGCAAAGAATGAAATGCTTAGGATTCCATTTTATAAAGAGCTCTTTCACTATTATGGCAGATGAACTGGAAGCTCAAGGGAGTTGGGATGAAGAGACAAATTAGAAGTCAATTAAAATTCAAGGTAAATATGATCAAAACTGCATTTTATGGAGTGCTATATACTTACATCATTCAGGTTGTCATCTGAGGCTACTGACTTGATTGCTTGTTTATGTCTGAGGCAAGGCATGGGTGATCCAGAGTAAGTGGGCATATCCAAGGCTCTTCAGGAAAAGCAAAATAGAAACATACTTTACCTTTTAGTTTTGATGGGAATTTTTTTTTCTTACCATTGCCTACTTATGGAGAGGTATAATTCAATTACATCAGATCTTCAAATTTGCTTCAAATATTAGTTTTTTAGATTGCTAGACATAAACATTTGATATTTGATAATCTGGAATAGTTGATCTTTTTTAAATACTAAACTATGGATTGAATCTAGTCTGTTACAGTTTTCATTGCTTGTCAGCAAAAGTAGTAACTAAAATTTTTGGTTCTATTTTTGGTGCTTACAAAATCATTTCTTTTAAACCATCTTTTAGATTTGGCCTTGGGGTTCATACCTATCAGTTCTCAGGGATCGTCCCAGCTATAGTAGGAAACAATGTGGTGTCATGGAGGGAATCATAATATTTTCTTTATAAATCTATTATAGAAAAATTAAATGATTCTTCTCTCATTTCACAAGTTATCCTTTGAAATGTGTATTTATTTTGGAAATATAAATTTTATGATACAAGATAGTACCTTATTAAAACATAGGCTATACATACATACATATATATACACACATACATATGTGTATATATATATTTATATTTACATACTGTCTCTGGGATGATGAATCCAGGACTTTGTAAGGCAAGAAATCTACCACTGAGCTACATTCCTGGCCATTAAGACAGTTTAACTATAGTAGCTAGTAAACAAAATATTGTTGCACAAATGGAGAACGTACAAGATGTGGTAAACACATGATAAGAAAGTATGGCATATATATGTTAAGTATGTACAGGGATATTTAACATTCCAGAGGCACTTGGGTACTAAATATTCATATTATATGAAATATGCATGAAACTAAGTATGTAAGAGACACCACACCTTCAGGATACAATCAATATACAGGAACACTTGCTATTCATGATGCCTTAAACTGGTCACCCTCTAGAGTCTGTCACCATGGACCCATATACTCTCTGCTGAAGAAACGCAAATCAAACCTGATGTTTGTAGAAGTGTTTTGCAGATAACATAAGCTCATGCTTTTGCAAATGTTCACAAAAATCACAAGTCCAAAACAGAGCTAATGTTCTATTATCTTCAGTATTGTATTTTTCAATACTGAGAGGGGCTATAGTGAAAAATACTGCAGCAGGCAAAATCAGCCTTACAATTTTACAATAGAGAATATGGGGGAAAGGCATTTATTTAATATAGCACGCCAAAACATATGTTTAAATTACTTTGGGCATCTCAAACCCCTGAATATTCTTAATACTTGATAACATAATTAAGTTCGACTACCCAACTTCAACTTTTAATTTTTTGGTACACTGGGCATTAATAAAGGAAAAGTTTTACAAATAAGACTGGAAAGTTGCAATAAAGATAGACCTTTGACAACTTTAAAAACTGGTGCATCTTGGCTTACCTATTTATGGTTACTTTCCTGGCAGGAATATTGTAAGCCCTCAGTATTCTGACAAGAATCTTAACATCCCCATCACAGAGAGCCTGCGCTCCCACTTTCTTCCTTTCCTTTCTTTGAGGCTTTAACTTTCTTCTTTGTTCAACAAGCTTATAAACAGCATGTGTCAACTGGCTAAAGAGCAAACAGTGATTAGCTGCACATATACAGAGAACTTAGTTTTAAAAGATAACCATTAAAAATATCACTACTATCAGACCGGAGAGATAGTACAGGGGTTAAAGGTGCGTGACTAGCATACATTTGACCTGGCTGGACCTTGGCACCACATGGTCTCCCTGAGAATCACCAGATGCAGTGTTGGAGGCTCCTGAACACTGCAGGATGTGGCTCTGTATGCCCTGTAGCCTGGGTTACCCCCAGCAATGCACGGCTGTCCTGAGGCAATTGCATTGAACTGCAGTCTTAGCTGTCAAAGAATCTCCAGAGAATGGACCTCTAGACCTCCTGAGCACCAACTGCGAGGCACCTTCCCAAATTATTAAGAAAATAAGACCATTTATTCTGTACTACATTCTCCTCGTGGAGGTGAGGCAGAGTTGTCTCGAGGAAGAAATCCTTTTCTAAATACAGCATTGCAGCTAGGTCCAATGTCCTGTAAAGAGATAATGTGATTGTTCCAATCTTTTTACAAATGTGGTACAAGAAGAAACGATGGCATGGGAAAGCAACTCCATGAAACTTGATGCACTCTTGAATATTATCCATTCTTCAGAAATCATTCCCACAAAACTGTTTAGATTTCTCAAATTTCCAACATGGCTCTGAAATAGGAGTTACTAAATTAAAATGCTCCCCACCCCTCACAGGATTACAAATCCATGGATTATAGCTTTATGGGCACATTCACTTACCCCCAAGGCTAAAAGAGAACAAAAGTAGTTTAAGCAATCAGAACCAATGGAAACCTTAATGGTCCGAATAGAAATCTCCTGTCATCCCCACTCTTGTTCCTACCCCAGATTTTACAAACAGGACAGCAGGAGGATTGAATTCCTTCAGTCAGCTTCTCTAACTCATGCCTGTGGTCACAATGCCTGTGCCTGCCTGGGGACTCGGTTGTGAATGGGATGATTACATGGCTAGGATGTGGGGCTACCGGCAGTGACATCAGTAGCAGTCTCATGTAGGACCGGTTTAAGGCAAAAATAATTTGGAATAAAGGTGTTTATTCTTTCTTACCTGAAAATGACCTCTTTATCAATAAAGAAAGTATCAGAAAGTAAAACAGTACACAGTTGGAAACATGTATTATAACTGTGGCAAAACATGCAATTTTATGATCAGCTCGATCACTGTCCTCCCGTTGTTCATCGATTTGCTCGAGCGGGCCCAGTAACGTCTCCATTGGAGACTTTGTTGTTACTGTGTTTGGCCTATCGAATACATCACGGGTAGCTTGCCAGGCTCTGCCGTGCGGGTGAGATACTCTCGGTAGCTTGCCGGGCTCTCCCAGAGGGACAATTTTATAAAATGATCAAATATATTTAAGTTGCTATTTTTCACTTACTGCTTTATAATAACAACTTTTGATACAACTTAATATAAAAACAGAGATTGCTATAGGACATTAAAACTATTAGCATAAGTGTTTATATTTCATATTTAAATAGCAGTGATTTTTATGTACCTTGCAGATACAATTTCTTCATAATCAGTCACAATATCTGATAACTTAAATTTGCTAACTTTGATTATTTTCTTCATTACCAACCGTCTCATCTATAAAAAAAATTTTAGGATTTTAAAAAATGCATATATTTAAGATTAAGTATTTACAATGAGATTGTTGTTACAATTTTTTAAAGCAATACATGGAAAGGTGGATTAGATACATGAAAATATGGTCATATTTACTAAACATTTTGAAATCATTCCTAAAAAAGTCACACTTAAATGTCTATTCTTTTTCTTAAATTCTTGTTCCTCCACACATCAAATACCATATTACACGGCTCTTTTTCCTTCTATCTCACAGTATGCATGAGTAGAAGCAGTTTACTAAGGTTACCTACCTTGTGAACGTGTTTCTACAGTAGTTATTTGTAGTCAACATGAATCTTGATGCACCAACTCAAAAGAAGCTCGATCACATTTCTTTATTTTTTTGAGTCGATCTTATTCTGACATAGTATTTTCATTTTGTCAGCTTGGCAAGAAGCGTGTAACTTCAACTGGGTTATACCTCTTAGATCATCTTACCACAGACTTGAGATCTCCAAAGGCCTGAAATTCTTCTGCAGTCTGAGGAAAGCCCTCTATGTCTCCTAGCCTGTCTCAACAGTTTAGACTCTCAATAGGCTTCGACTTTAAGACGTGAAACCAGAAAGAGGTCATTTTCAGCCTCCTGCTCTGCCACAAATCATTTCAGAGACAATGCAAACCACAGGCTAGTGATCAGCTTGAAAGGGCTGGGAAAGTGGGGTGGTAGGAAAAGAATAGGAAAAACAACATTTCTAAAAATTACTCTATCAAAAGGTAACTATTTTCCTTGAAGGTGAACTACTAACCTCTGACCCAAACATTACTTATTACCATGTTTTCTCTCCCTCCCGTTCTCTCTATTCACTCCCACCTCACCCCGCCCCTCCACTTCTCTCTCCTTTTTGGCACCACAAGGCAGTATTACTCCTTCCTCAGTCTAGAGTGTTCTCACAGACCCTCACCTACTTTATTATTATTATTATTTTTGCTTTGGTGTATCTTCTCGTCACCTTTCCCAATCACTTAATCTCTTCCCACACATATATTTATTCTGGCACAAGATAATTAGGTATGCAAAAATATTTAAATTCAAGTTTTTTCTAACAACTATTTGTAAGTGTATATCCTCCCCACCCCTACCCCCATACCCACACACAGAACTCCTGTCCTTTTATCCGATTTTAGTTTTCATAGTGCGTGTCTGTCTTTAACATATCAGTTGTTTGCTGAGCATCAAGACTTCCAGAGGGCAGGGATTTTAGAGTATTTTTCTTACAACTCTAATCCAAAAATTTAATTTAATGACTGATCCAAGACAAGTTATCTCAATAAACAGTTACTTAGAAAATTAATGAAAGGGACAAACTGAGGTAATGCAAACATTTCTGGACACCTGTATCTAGTAATTCTTGAGACAGTTGGGACATCATTCTTTCCTGTTGCCATCAAAACATCAACCACCATTGGACCTGGTAGAAAGCAGCACTTTTTCTGTGCTTAACTCCCCCCACCTCCAACCCCATAGCAGGATTTAAACACAATATGGCCTTAACAGGCCCCAATGTCAAATGTGGGGAGAAGACTGGCTTGTTAACTGGCCTGCCTCTAGGTTCAGGGCAGCTACAGTCAACTCCCTTTCTTCCCCCTTTCACAGTAATAGTCTAATTAGTGGAGTGTTCCAAGTCTTCTCTTTGCTCCTGACATCGGAAATAAAGTTAAATAGGCATTATTTGTTTCATACAGCAATAAAGTGGGGGCTTGGTGAGTGGGTTACATGCTCAAAGATGATAGGGCAGTCAGAATAGGTTTTCAAGTACCCGTCTGGGGCGAGAAGAGTCCTCATTACACCAGGTTGCTCCTCATGGGTCTCCAGGAGAAATCTGAAAAAGATCTCTTAGGTCTTCTTTCTGGCTCCTTGCTTCTTTCCCCATAACCCTAGAAGGCTACTCCAAGTGCTCAATGTTAGGGCCCACTTAGCTGGAATAACTGCCAACCTCAGCAGTTGGGAGACCAGTAGGGGGAGAGGAGAAAATAACTGAAATAGCAGACCCAGGGCAAGGCAGTCAATCCGAGCTGGCCCACCAATCAGGGAATAGGTCGGTTGACAGTTGGGGCTTGGGGTATAAAAGGGGCTCAGAGATGGAGGGGTGACTCTCTCTCTGGGCCCATGGCCCTGATTGATTGATTGATCAGTATCTGGACTGCTCTTGGCACAAAATAAAGTTCTGCTGAGCTTTTGCATTTGAATTGCACTCGTTCCAAAGATCACCGACCCTAACACTCAACAGCAAAGGCTGTTTATTGGGGTGAGATTTTCTACCTTTGCAGAAATCTTAGAAACAACCACCTGCACTCTTGTGTTTTTTTATCCTGAACTTAATTTATTTTTTTCAAGCACTTATTAGTGTTTTCTGAGTGAAGGACACTGTCTTAGGAAGATAGGTGGGCACTGTGCTGATACTGTGGACCACCAGCTCTCGTCCCAGCTCTCTAGATCTTGGGTGGAGTGATGAGCAGTCAGTGGAAAGAAATTAGGAGTGAAATTCAGTGAGGGATTTTACCTTACCTTCTGTGTTCTGTAAACAGTTGACTCTGTATTAAGTCTCTAATATTCTGTGTCTCCTTGTAGCTTTTTTAAATACCTTTAAAATTCCCTAAATATCAGTGGTCTAGGGCAGTGTGTAGACGAAGGGATTCTGCAAAGCCTGGCGCATCTCTGAAAGTGAACTTTTAGGATTAACAAGAAATGGGAAGTTTTCACCATACATAATGCGTTTTAACAATGTGGGTACTAGAAACTTACTTGCTTCCATCAGAGAATTTACTGTTTATAGGGTGATAACTAAATCTGAAAAGAAAGCCTGAAGAGAGCAAAAACTCAGTTATTACTCTCTCTTATTGGGTGTTGTGGTTTGCAAAAGAGGCAATGGATGACAATCATGAAACCCAAACACAAAAATTTGTAAGTCTACAACTATACCTCATGATGTCTCACTAATAAAAATTAAAAAAACAAAAAACAAAAAATACTCAGTGATCAGAAACAGTTGATAAGTGTGTGAATTTGTCCATGTCACTTGGGGAAGTGTATAATACTGGTATCCAGTTAATAAGCTTTCAGAAAAGTAAATGCAAAAATACTGATATGACTATTTTGTTACCTCTTTTAGAAAATTGGTAGAATTAATTCTTTGTGCAGTAATAGTATTCACATCTGAGATGGATATTTCCTTCTCTGTCCCACTTTCACATTCCTAAGCAAAGAAGAAAGTTGTTTTTAACCTCTGGAACATAATGGAGTTCTGATATGACAACCCACAATTGGACAACTCATTTCAGTTCATATGTAGTAGACACTGTCAAGCATGTTAACAATTAGGGAAGCCATTTCTTACCACTCTTTCTCTGAGAAGTACTGAAGAACAGCTTATGATCATAGTTTGATATACTGTATATATTTCTTATATACTAT